GCTTGTCGTAAGAGGCGACTAACGGGATAGGGTGGTCAGGCTCGCTGACTTGGTTGATGCATGTCATCGCATCCCAATTGCCCATCGCATCCCATGATGTCAATCACTGGATTGTCTGGTCCAGACTCGATTATTAACAGACCGCCGTCATATAGCTGGAATATTGTGAGTGCGGCGTTAAACAAAAAAAAAATATAAATAAAAAATATAGTAGGACCCAAGTACCCCAGGAAGCGACCGGGGTCGTGTGATCAGGGTAAGTGACACTGTGCATCATCACACTCAACTGCGTGAGGCCTTGATAATGTACTCAACATCTTGTTTGTCAATCTCAAGTTCTGCTCCGTCCGTCACATGCTATGTCGGCGCCCTCTGTTGGCAGATTGCTGGTTTGTCCGATCCAGACGCGATTGTTTACAGGCCACTGCGAAAGAGATGACATACAACTGACAGGAGCATAGCTAGGAGAAATATAAATGACAGCAATCATATTGCAGTACTTATTTTTCTGAAACAATCATAAGGCTTATTGATCAAACACTAACACAAGCAGGTCAGTGCAATTTATCTAAAACAGAGATATCACGAATTATCCTTACGACGCTCTGTACATAACACATTTTAAGTTTGATTATTGTGATCAAACCCAGATGTCTTCATAAAATATAGATTGTCAATGCAAGAGCATAACCACTCTAAATTATCCACCGAAACGGATTCGATTTGGCGTAAACGGCTGTGATATTTATATGAATGGACCACTGAAAATCAGTGATGACACCAGCATACATTTATGTAGACTCGTATAAGTATTCAGACATGAAACCATGATAATCCAGTTTTATGAGTACTTTGCCAAGGGCCATTTAATCCTCAGTCGCGAAGATAATTGCTGAGCCAACATAATTAATCGTATCGCACAATTATCAGGATCATCCAAGCAAAGCTCCAACTTAATAAGGCTAGTGGTTTTACCGATGATTAAAACATATGTTAACTACAAACATAATCGGTTTACTGTCAATCAATATTGATTTAGTAGCAATCACTAAGGTAACCAGTCATATGAATTGCAACACAAATTCTGAGGTGTTCTAGTAAGGGAAAATATACCCGAATGCGAAGACAAAGTTTTCGGAATAGGGGAGAGTTGAGGTGAGGTGAAATCGGGTTTAATGTCGAGTCCAAAATTATTCCACTTACATGGCGACATGTATGCAGGTATGTGTGTGGCTGATTGTTCTAGTCCGGGCTAATGCTGATTTTAGCCCACTGTGATAGCAGGCTGCAGGTAAACATGTATACCCCACTCAGACAGAGTATACTGACTCACAGCCGACCAGTCCTTGTTTTACCCCCTTAATGCTGAGCGTCAGGCAGGGTAACAAGTAAGAATATGAAAGACGTCTTGACTGCAACCGATAAGCAGGGATAATGAAGAAATTATTACATTTGTTTAGCTTTAGAAGAAACCTTCATACGTACTCAATAGTGTGTGAGTGAGTTGGGTTTAACGCCGCTTTTAACAGTATTGCAGTTATATCACGGCATGTCAGCTTAATGTGGGAGTATAGCCCGAAGTGATGCAGGTCTTAGACGTTTACCACTTCGGTGAAACCCACGAGCACGGGTATGGCGCTGACAAATCTAGAAACATAATCGGGGCGAACCGGGATTCAAACCCACAATCATAGGTTTCTGACTGGGCCACCCGCGTCCCCAAAAGAAAAATGACGGATATCATTAATACATGTGAGGCTTTTAAACATAGTGATAAAGGAGTCATGAATTGTTCCAAAGATATCACCATGGTTACATTCGCCAGAGCACAGAGCACAAAATGCAGATTACAAACGTCTACACTGGCCAATGCCCATTTATGTGCAAACCACGTGACCATTGCATGTGCACGATCTGAAACATGATCATGAATTATGATTAACCATCAAACACATGATAGGACCAAGTGAAGCTGAAAGAAACGCCATGTCATGTGGGACCAGGTCGGCCGTTCCATGTATAACCAGGCACCATCAAAACGTGCGACTTTCCCAGATCCGGTAACAAAGAACATCCGGGTTCATCACCTACGACGAAAGACCACCACAGCAACCTCTGCAGCATCCGCCATAACCGGTTCGTGTTGGATATCATCCCAGACGATGAGGAACCACCAACGTCGTCAAGCCATATGTTATGTCATTTTGATGGACAAGCATCATCGACTACATCCGTTTTGTCATGTCCAATGTGTTTTGCCTCACTGGTGATGGAGAAATGATTGTTCAGCACCGTTTTGTGCCTAGTGCAGAGTGTGTAGTGAGGTGAAATGGGGCTTAACGGTCCAAGATCATTGCTGTTTGTTTGCTGTTTAAAGCTGCACTCAGCAATATTCCAGCTACATGACGGCGGTCTGTAAATAATCGAGTCTGGACCAGACAATCCAGTGATTGATGTGATGAGCATCGATCCACACAATTGGGATACGAGGACATGCATCAACCAATACAGCGAACCTGACCCGATCGGTTAGTCGCCTCTTTTGACAAGCATAGTCCGGCAAGCATTGGTTGCTGAAGACCTATTCTACCACAGATCTTCATGGGTCCCAAGATTATTGCAATTATAAAGCGACATGCATGCAGATGTGTGTGTGCGTGCGTGTGTGTGTCTAGTTGTACTAGTCGGACTGATGCTGATTTATAGTGCTGGCACACTGAGATACCCTGCCACAGTTTAACATGAATAGCCCACTCAGGCACAGTATACTGACTACGACCAGTCCATGTTTTAGCTCCTAAATGCTGAGTGCCAGACAGGGTAACAACAAGTACCATCTTTTGGTATGACGCAGTCGGTGATCGAACCTCGGACCTTCCTCACTCCAGGCGGATGCTCTACCATTAGACCAAGGAGGTGGTCTCGGTTGCGCAGACCTTGAGGTAAATGTTATGTACGTATGACACTGCATACTGGAAGTCAACAGGTTCGGCAGGGGTAGTATGATGAGCAGGGGTAGTATCTTGAACAAGGCAGGTACAACTAATATAATCCTTGTGTTAATAAAAATAAAGTGGATAAGTCTGTTGCCTATAAGACAACCTCCGTGGTCTAGTGGATAGAGCGTCTTCCTGGAGAGTGGATGGTTGGGGTTCCATCCCCTGGACGCATCAAACCAAAATATGTTATAAGATGGTACTTCTTGTTACCCTGCCTGGCATTTGGCATCAAGGCCATGAAACAAGGACTCAAGAGTCGGTATACTGTAGCCAGGCAGTGTAGCGATGTCGCTACATGTGCAATAATCTTGAACCTGACTTTAAAACCCATTTAACCTCACCTCAGCACCTATTGTTGATAAAATTTCAAATGTTTTTCTCAACCAGTCAACCATGGCGTCTCTGTATTAATTGTATTAAAATGCTTAAAAACATGTTCAGAGACATTATTTATTAAATAAATACAAACGTTTACCTTCGAAGGTCCTGCAGTCTCAGAGGCAAAGACTGAAAGGTACCAGACAACATGCCACCATGTAAACTTAATGAACAATTCAGTGCTGGTAAACTAAACTTGTACAGACAACATCCGACAACAGAGAACATGGACAGCTGTTTATTTCATTAAACATTTCTCTTCATCTTCTCAACATCAGGCACCATATCAGACGAACAGTTGAAATTGGTTCTGAACAGTGACTGAGTGTTCTGATGCAACATTCCATCTACATCACTTGTTGGGCATGACACACAATCATTTGTTTGTTTGTTTATTGTTTAATGCTGCACTCAGCAATATTCCAGCTATATAACAGCGGTCTGTAAATAATCGAGTCACGACCAGACAATCCAGTGACTGACACCATCAGCATCGATCCACGCATTTGGGATATGATGACTTGCATCAACCAAGTCAGCGAGCTTGACCACTCAATCCCGTTAGTCAGGTCAGGGACTTGTGACTCAACACTTGGGTGGGGCAGCGAAGACAACATTTTGGAGCAAGAATGTAAAATACAACAATTATCAGTAAGTTTGTGTAGCAGACATGACATCACTCTGGAACACTCTGTCATGTCCTTCTGAATCTTCCCAAGGCAAGGGAGTCATTGACTGTAAAAGTTCAGTTTTCACCCTTGCCTGACTAGGCTGGAATTTCATGCTGAATCGTAGCACCACCAGTGGCTATTATGAGTTATGTCCCTTCTATGTCCCTCCTGTTGACCAATCAGATTCTACCTCCCGTATCACTTGTATTTGCTTCGGACAAAATGGCAGCTCCCGGTCAAGACAACATGATCAATAATCAAGATCTTAAGCGGTTAAGCGTTTGCTCATCACGTCCAAGACCCGGGTTCAATTCCCCACATGGGTATAACGTGTGATGCCCATTTCTGGTCCCCTGCTGTGATATTGCTGGAAAAGTACTAAAAGTGGCGTAAAATCGTACTCACTCACTTAAATTTGGAACTGAGAAGAGAAAAGGATTCATATGCAGAAGAGTTCAGGAGACTTCTGCCATTCCTTCATTTAACAATCTAGTCTAAAACAATAAAATTCATTCCTGAGAATATCATGACTAACATCAACATCCCTTAAAGTATGGCAGCACAATATTTGACAAATTGTGGGGCAGGGTCTTTCTCACTTATATTTAGGGATGAACTTAAGCAAATACAAAATATATATGAACTTTTTTGCACATCATAACTTGGCAAATGTCAACAGTTCTGTAACAATTAAGGCTCCAGAGCTTTCTGGGACAGGCTTGACAATGATTCTGGAAAAGCGAACAAAATAACGACATTTCATGCCTTATGAAACATAACCCAAACTGTTAGAATGCCAAGAAACATTGAGTGTGACTGGTGTAAACATATGTTTGTTTGTTTGTTTGCTGTTCAATACTGTAGTATTCCAGCTATATGACAGCAGTCAGCAAATAATTGAGTCGGGACAAAACAATCCAGTGATTGACGTTATGAGCATCGATCCACGCAATTGGGATACGATGACATGCATCAAGCAAGTCAGCTAGCCTGACCACCTGATCCCGTTAGATGCCTCTTACGACAAGTATGGGTTGCTGAAGACCTATTCTCTACCCAGATCTTCACGGGTCGTAAAAATATCAACATACATTAATCACTCTCTAGTTCTTGTGAGTGCTTCAATTCATAGGATGGCAGACACGCACATTTTTTTACTTGTTAAAATTTACAATGTGAAAAATAAGTCAATTCACCATCCACTTTTGAGATTGGAGACTTGGACCCACCCATTTTTTTTTATATCAGCTAAGATATGCTCAGAGACTTTTCAAAGACTTTTAATGTATACTGGTGATCTAGAGACATGTCATACAGCATGAAGGTAACTATGAGAATGTTGATACACTTACTCAGTCTGCAGAAAGTCAATGACAAAATAAAAGAAAAAATATTTCACTACAGCATGTCCACAAATTTGTAAAAAATAAATTAAAAATTTAGATATTAAAAAGTGTGGAAATAGTTTGTGTTCTGCAAAACAAACACTAATAGATTACAATTATGAGTAAATAACAAATATTACCGGTTTCTGCCCTAGTTGTACTATCTTGCCAATTATCACAATAGTGGTTTTTAACAATCTCAACACTATTGCAATAGTAGAAATGCCCCCCCCCCCCCCCCACCACCAACAGTCAATTATAATTGCTGTGAATCTTGTATTCAAACACATGACCAGCAGACCCAGACAACTTAGGGATGAGACTCCTTAGACCGTAGGGCACCTGAATCACTCCTTGAAAGGAAAGTACTTTAAAATAGTTGGTTATGTAGATAATGTGCAAGAATTGACAGTGTGAAGATAATATACAGTTCAGCATGAAAGTTACAATGAACATTACTCGCCTCAAATATCAGGAAGTCCTTTTCATATGTAGCAAGTCTTACTTGACACAATAGGGACAATTTATGAATAACAACTTCATTTCCTGTAAAGGCAACATTTCGGTATAGATCATTATACTGTTGTCAAGCAAGGCCTCTACTGTCACCCGTCAACTTCTAAGTAATGCCTAGCAAACAATTCAAGTCACAGTGGTCCTAGAGGAGACCAACTGGATCAGGTGGTCAAGCTTGGCATGGATTGTTGCTCAAATCAATCACTGGATTATCTGCTCCAGAGTAGATTATTTACAGGCCGCCATTACAATGCTGAGTGTTGCACTTAACAAACAATCAAATTGGTACTTTTTGGTCTGTACCAATCCATGAAATAACAATACATCACATTTCAGTGTATCCTGTTGTGCAATAATGTAAAATAAATATCAGAATATATCATGAATATTGTGGCATATATTTGTTTGATTGTATAATTATTCTCTTTTCAACAGTTCAGTTCCACCAAAATACAAACAGAATTGATACAGGTGGTAGGCATGTGACAACAGCAATACAACTACCACATTGTACACTGTAACAGAAAATGAAGGCGACTATAACACTGCTGATGATAGGCCAGAGGCAAAGAACGACACATTTTTATCCATCACTTTAAACTGGCGCCTCTTTGTTGTTGCTTTCTTAGGTTTACAGTGGCCATCTTGAACTTTGATGGTTAACTGAAACAGAGAAAAAAGATGAACATAAACAGTTTCAAACTCAAGATCATGTCATCATGCTTCACAAAAGAGCTGTACATAGAGTATGCGTGGCAGTGTAAGAAGTAAAAGGCAGACCTGGCAGTGGCACATTGGTATTTGTTTAGGTTTATTTGTATTGTAACTTACATACCCCCTTTGTTTTTAACTTTTAAGTTGGGGTCTATTACACTTACCCATTGACTTTCATTCTTTTTGTTAATATTTAAACACTGGATGGGATAAAGAATAATTTTTTTGAACGGGCCATGTACATGATGTAAATTTTTTATAAGGATAAATAAAATCTTATGTTGTTGGATCTAACCATACACTGTAAAACTGATATACTGTAAAACTGATATAACACAACATTAACATACCATAACCATGGTAACAAAATTACTAATTAATACTTGCCTCTCCGTGTACATCTCTACAGTAGCCACTCATGAGCCCAGACACAAACAAAGTCATACTGCAAGAGTGACATAGGTACTTCCACAGAAACATGGCATCTTCGTCAGTTTGTATCACATTCAGTAAAACAATTACTTGTCCTGGAAAGTCAATATTTAGGAGTGAATTTTTCAGATAATGAAGAAAAGTCGTCATTTCCTTTGGCGCTACACCAATGTTTATCAGTAAACTTAAATTATCTATTATCAGTACTTGTCTTGCTTTGCCATCTGCTGAAGTCATAGATGATATCCGAGACTTAATATACTGCAGTAATGGCAGAAGGCTGCATTGCTTTGCTAAACAAGAAAATGGGTCTTGGCTCTTTCCATCTTCTGTATCTTGGGAGCCAAGAGCCTGGTGGCAGATTGCCTGTCCAAGGTACTTCATTCCCTCAATAAATACAAGATTCCCATTTTCTTTTTCTGTATTGAGGTTAACGCCTTGTTTTTGAGCAACTGTGGAGTAATGGTTGAAAGACTGGGCAAAGCCTATAAAACAGACTTTGTTGCCTTTCCTCAAATTAGAATTGAGAAAGTAGTGAATAAGAAACGATCCATCTGCAGAACTGTCCGCGATCCCCACAAAGCAGCCTTCATCTGTTATATCATTGTTTGAGGAAAGAATGTTGTCGATTTCACTTATCATATTGAGTCACTTCACAAAATAAACATGGGTTTTGAAGAAGTCGAGGCACGGATGAAATGCTGTCGTGTTTTATCCAAGGGAGATAATTCAGGCTGCAATTTCGTATAAAGCGAAATTAGAGAATGATACATTAACGACCAGGATCTGTTTTATATGTTTATTCTCGGTCAATTCATCGCCTAAATGTTTGATATATTGTTTTCGTAAATACATACATACACTAAATGTTTTAATAAAACATTGTTATTCACGTTATTTATATTCATTTTCATTATCATTGTGTTTCTACAATTTCTATTCCGTTTCCATCATGGATTTCCTATTTTGTATTACAGTCAATACACTGTTTCCGGTGCGCCAGATTTGAAAGAAGAATATTTGTAAACAACTAGTCTACTGGTGTAGTTCTTCACGTGTGTATCTTGAAGTTGTCTTCCATTGTATATTGAGCCCAAGAAGGGGCATCGCTCACAGTTTTTGTTTTGTTGTATAATTTCAGGAGGTTTGTGTTTACCGATAAAATGGGAATGGTTTTCGCCCGTATCCCCCGTCCAAAAGTCCAGGTTGAAGTAAAAACGGCCTCAAAAGTTAAAACGGCCACAAAAAGTCAAAATGGTCACAAACCCATAGTCAAAACGGCCACAAAAAAATCATATCGGCCACAGGTTAAAAGTCTATGATAATAACAAATGAATATCCAATGTGAACAGGATGTATACAGAGTAGCATGTTAGATGTTGCTATTGCATGGAGGAGGGTGGAGGATATTATATTCGTGTTCATGTCATACTATTTTTATGACACTCATGTTGTAAACATAGTATGACATGAACATACTCAGTGCCCAGTTTAAATAATTGTCACGTTGTCGCATGCTGCTAGGCCTATAATTAGAAGCATCAAACAAAAAATTTACATTTTACATTTTTTACAATAAAAAAAGTTACCTATATGCCCCCTCATGGATTCAAAATACAATTGAGACAACGAAACCTATGCTTTTTTAGTTTTTAACGGATACCTATCCGCCATGTTCATTTGATGCAACTATTTACGCAATCGATAGAGTTACTATTTGAAAATTAGAGCGATAAAACTCAATAAACATGATAAGCATAAAAAATAACTCTGCTTGCATTTGTATGGTTTGGGATTATTAAACCTTGAAATTGACTATCAAAGCAATTCTTAAACATAAAACATTACAAGAAAATACAGGTTCCATAAACGTGATAATGGCGTGCCGTAACCTCATCAGTGACATATCCTTTGGGGCCACATTTCAACAAACACATATTTTTCATTAACTATGATAACTAAATTTGAGGTTTTCTTAGGAAAGCATTTGTTTCAAATCATTGTGTGGGTTACAAGCCCCCCAAACTCCCTGTTATTTCAGCGAGGCGACTGAAAATGGTGTGTGAAAAACTTAGATACTGTTAATAAGGAAATATCATTTGCACATGGCCCAATGTTTTGAGTACAATGCATTCTTGCCCAATGTAACAAAGCTAACATTTTTAATTTCTTTAACTGCCTGATAACCATTTCTTGGAGGTAGCTGGATGCATGTATGTAAAGGGGTTTATCTTTTTTGTAAATTTGAAAACATTTACATAATTTAAGGATGATCTCAGAATGCACAATGCACAGAAATCTGTTACTTTGTACATATGATATAACACACTTTGTTTCAGCATGTCCAAGACATCATTCTGCACTCAGCTTTGGCCCTTGTATATTTTTTTGTTTTAGTTATTGTTTAATTATTTTTTTTTAACATGTTTGATTAATATCAAGGAATTTTCTGACATGGGCCATTGATGTGAAAATTTCAAATATTCCAGAGGTACACCCACATTTGCCCATACAGCACAATGTTAAAATGCACTATTGTATTTGAAAATGTGGGCCTTTTTTAAATTTAGGGGCTAAAAGCACAAGCTCCCCCCCCCCCTAGAATTATCCCTGTATTAACTTAACCCAGTCAGTTGCTACATATGACACATTAATCATATTATGATATATAGAATTTATGACATATAACCAGCTGTTGTTTTCTAAAACCCTTAAACTATATTTTGCCAAAGGCCTACCATGTACCTACCAACTGAATTGAACTTTGATGTGTTGTGTTTTACAGATAGAAAAGATGTCTTTGAGTCACCAGTTCCCAACGCTCACGGTGGACCAGATAGTGTCAGTGTGTCGAGAAATGGAGATCCCAATATCAGAAAATGACATGAGAAAACCTGATGTGAGTTAAAGTGCACAGACCACAATTTACATTCAACGATTTAATAAACCTTGTACGTGTTGTATGGAGGATGTTTACGGTGTTATTGTACATGTTGTAGTTTACTTCATAGTGTGTACAACATTTTTTGTAAAAATGGAAATAAAAACGAAACATGCTGTGGACTTTATGAAGATGTGGGGGGTGCCTGAGAACCAATACTTTTATTTTGTTTAGCCTGAAGCATAAACTTTGCAAATATTATATGTAATGTTTTTTATTTTATTACTAGTAGGGCTGGCTATTGATATAGATCACTGAAATCGATAATTTTAAAATAAATATTGATCAATTATCGATTAATATCAGAGAAGTAACTCTGAGCAAATATGCAAAAAGGCCAAAGAGAAAACACATATTTCACGTTAAGGTGAGTGGTTACACATTTTTGCATGGATTTCTTTGTGGACATTAAAGATATAACGAAATCAGTTGCTGCTTTCTGCATGATCAATAACAAGTCTGCTTTGGTAAAATAATCCTAATTTAATCACAATACATGTAGTTTATATACGATATTATCAATGATACAACTTTCATAGCGATAATTGTTATGTTTCTCTTAATGTTGGCGATAATTCCGATTATCAATCTTTTCAGCCAGCCCTAATTACTAGGACTACTACTGTTAAAAAACATAAGTGAAAATGGAGCAGTAAGAATTTCATGACAAAAGGTTTTGACCTATTATTTTAAGTATGTTAAAATTTAGCATGTTTACCGTGGTTTAGCAGAATATCTTTGCTGTTTGCCCTGATGAAATCTTTCTGCATTGTTTAAACAGTAACACTTACATTTTACACTCTCTCTCTTACATAAAGGTTATCTATCATATATGGTAATCAATTAGCCAAAAGGTCCAGTCAGACAGAGGTTGGATTTCTGAATTGGATAGTGGTTGGTGCTATTTCTTGTTTACTTGATTGATTTTGCTTTCAAGACATATTTCTGACCCAGGTTCATCGCTGGAATTCCTTATATGGCATGGTTCTAGAATCTCTTGCTGGAGTCACGGCAGACCAAGTGAGACAGGTAACAGACACATGTTGGAAAGAGGGGGGAGGGTGGTGGTGGTGTGTGTGTTGGGGGGTCACATACATTAATTGTATCTGGGTCTTTGTAGTCTTAATTATGAAGAGATCAGAGGACTTATTGACAAAGAATTACTTTTTCACAGTTTCAGGAAAAAGCACATGTTCTTGTTTCTAGGCCTTAGTTTTGGGGCCAGCACACAGGTTTTCAAACCTCATAGCCAAAACAGCAGTTGGCATATAAGTTCTTTCCAGGTGTATGAAATGGAGATATAATACACTGGATATTTAGATGATATATACCTTCATCCATGTTTATCAGAATATTCAGAAGCTGCAAAGTCGACTGAAAATATATTTAAATTTGATATTGCACCTGAAAATGGCACCTTAACATGGCACATTAACCTTTAGCAGTCTGAAAACTGACAAATAAGATGTTCAGTATCACAGATTTAATGCTGAGATTTTTCAATCAAGAATTTAAAAAAAAGATGATCCTTTCCAAATATCTTATTTAGCATGTTTAGCTTGGGATGATCAAATCACATATAAAACACACAACATAATCTTCTTAATCATGTTTTTGTTTCAGCAACACATCCACAGCTCCCAGCTGTGTGACTATCCTGAGATACATGAAGAGTCAATGTCCTTGATGGCCTTCACCTTGGCTATGTAAGTGCAAAACTTTCAGACATGTTATGAAAGTTTGATGAGTTCATATGAATGAGAATTATACTTGTTTCTTTCACCTCTTGCTTATTTTGAACTTGAACAACACCAAATGTGGAGCTAAGCTAAAATGTGTCCAAAAAGATAATGCTAGAAGTCCAAAAAACTTTCAGGTGAATGAAACTGACATGTGCTAATTTTCAGTCCTAAGCATATATCCAATGAATTGTAAAATGTTTCAAACATTACATGTATTAAATCGTGTAGTGTTGATTATTTGCAATTCAACGTGAGACTCGATAAACATGTTCAAGGCGGATTTTCATTTCTCTTTTGGTTTAAAAATCTGTTTACATGTTTTGAGCTTGTTACAGGCTTAACATGTTAATAGATGTAAACATTAGAATGTATTCGTTATTTAAAAGCTAATAGTTCATGTTTTGGCATTCCATTGTTTCATATCTTTCTTACAACTGTAGGATTATCTGAGTAATTTGGCATAAGGGGTGGTGGGGTAGCCTAGTGGTTAAAGCGTTAGCTTGTCATGCTGAAGACCTAGGTTTGATTCTCCACATACGTTCAATGTGTGAAACCCATTTCTGGTTTCCGCCGCCATGATATTGCTGGAATATTGCTATAGCGGTGTAAAACCATACTCCCTCACTTATTCAATTTCAAGCACTGTTCATGAGTATTGTTTTTTTCCAGTCAGAGGGTGATGTACGCATGTGCCTTCACAGATTTCAGTGTTAAGGATGTCATTGACCCAAGTAAGTCTGATCTCTTATGTAAATGAAAATGTGTTTGATGTCATACCCATAGTGTTACATCATAATATAGATAGAAACATTTATTTTACACTTATTTTTTGTAAATTATTCATGCTATGTTTCTGGTATTTGTATATATTCTTGCTGCCAGTATGATTTTAAAAAGTTGATATTGTCTTCATTTAATTGAACTGATATCATGATATTTATCAGGACCCAAGCGTCTCATCAAGATTATGAGTGCAGCAATAAACTTCTACCGCTTTCGGCAGTCAAGAATTGAGATGTTTGATGCACTCAAAGCTAAGAATGTAAGTCAAGTTTAAATTTTGTAAGCACTTGTATGGTTGTGTGATCTGTGACATACTTGTTTCAGCCAGTGATGACACCCCAAATTATTGCTTGATGAGTTCATTATATTTGTTTGTTTGTTCATTTGTTGTTTAACGCCGCACTCAGCATTATTACAGCTATATGACGGAGGTCTGTAAGTAATCGGGTCTGGACCAGACAATCCAGTGATTGACATCATGAGCATCAATCCATGCAATTGGGATACGATGACATGCATTAACCAAGTCAGCGAGCCTGACCACCCGATCCTGCTTGATGCCTCTTACAACAAGCATAGTCGCCTTTTACTGCAAGCATGGGTTGCTGAAGACCTATTCTACCTTGGATCTTCAAATAGCCTAGATCTCTGTTGATAGTAGGCTTGTGGTGCCAAGTCTGGACTTCTACTGTTAGTTTTCTTTTTGTGAAGTAATGGAGGTTGTTGGAGAGGATTTGGATGTTTTCCCTATTGATGTTGTGATTGGGGCAGTTGCTGATATGGCCCCAGATGGCTGATTTACTGTCTGATTTGATGGATGAAGTTTTGTGCTCTTTGATTCTGGTGTTGAAGGGGAGGGATGTTTTACCGACATAGGATCAATAATCAATAATCAGTTTGGCAAACTACCCCCTCGGGTTCTTGGGTTTGGTGGGATTTCTGCCATTTGCTTTTAGTAGGTTATTGAGGAAGGTTAAGCTAGTGAAGTAGATGTCAGTATTGGCTTGCTGTTTGAGGAGGTGGCTGATGATGTGGGAAGCTTTGCCTAAGATGGGGAGGGTGATGCAGAAGAGTGCTGGTTTAAATTTGGTGGTCGTAGGTCTGGGGTGGAGTGTGAATGAGATGACACTTGGGTAGGTAATTGTTGAGATGAGATAATACACAACGGAGGTGCTGGATCTCAGGTTTGGGGTCAGCTGAACAAAGGTTGATGGCTTGTTTGGTGAGTGTGGAGATGATGCCAGTTTTAGTTCTAACTCTAAGTTTGTTTGTTTGTTTGTTGTTTAACGCCACACTCAGCAATATTCCAGCTATATGATGGCGGGCTGTAAATAATTGAGTCTGGACCAGACAATCCAGCCTAACTCTTAAGTGAGTGGTTGGAGTTGAAGTGGATATACTGATTGCTGTGGGTAGGCTTTCTGTAGACAATGGTTGGGAACTAAGACAGGCATCATCTCCACATTCTTGGCTGTTTCATCCCATCCGCCTATTATGAACTCATCAAGCAATTGTTTTCCCAACCATCCCACCTCGTATTTAATCCGGTTTAATTGGTTTAATGGTTTCCTGTTTAATTGACTTTATCATTGTGTGTGTTCTCTGTCAATCATGTTGTTACTATATTTGCCTTCTGTTATTAGATAACCTACTCATGTTTATCCCTCTATGAGTGATCATTGCTGTTACTGTGAATCTTTCACCCACCATATATAATTCTGTACCATGTTCATTATTCAGCCTTGCTTGACAACGGTATAAGGATCTATACCAAAACGTCGCTATAACAGTATAATAAAGATGTTATTCATAATTATTTTGGTCTACTTTGAAAATATGTAGAGCAAACATATCATCTATACTTGTCCTGACTTAAACGCTAATGCGCCCACCCAGCCGCCTCCTCTTCCACCTCATATGTGTTTCGACCGTAAGTAAGAGAACAAGAGAGTAATGAGTCTACTGGCTTGGTCGCATGGTTCTGGTGCAGCTCAGGGGTGTGTTCGGGTTACCTGTTTTATCTGTTCTCTGTGAACACAGTTCAGGACATTTTAACTACCTTTCAGATATGAGATGAGATAAGAATGAGATAGGTTAAGGTAAAATATACGATATTGCCCCCCCCCCCCAAAAAAAAAAACCCAACAAAAAACAAAAAAAACCACCCCAAAATACCCCCAAATACTACCAACTACATAAAATAAATTTTTCCTACAAAATTAGAAATAGGGGGCTCTTATTAGAATATTATTTTGGTAAATGCTGAACATAAATTTTGGGGTTTATGCCGACACCCTGAAATGTTTATATGCGACAGATATATTTTTCCAGAATTCAATTGCCCATAATTAAGGGTGCATATATAACACACAAGTGCATATTATACACGAATAAATAAGTCTTGTGTACATTGATCAATCGGAAGGGGTGCTAATTGGGATTGTTCACTAGCCAATATATTAGGAAATATCGCCATGGGCACTTATTAGAGCGGGGCGCTCATTACGTTGAATATGGTATGCCATATTTCATTACATTTTTAACAAAAATGTCCGAGTAATAGCCATAAAGAGGTTTTGTAATATGGTGGCCATAATGAAAATCTGATTCACAACTCTTGAACAAATTGGGGTGTCATCATTGGTTGGAACAATTTCAGCTTCACTAGTCCAGTGGTTTCTGAGCAGATCATGTTTACAGCGAGAGGAAATGGATTTTAAGAGAATTTAGCAGCATGGTCACAGTGACTTTGACCATGATCCTAAAATCTTTTAAAATGCATCTCACTGTTAACATTATTAATATTTGTAAATGATAGAACCAAAATTCAACCCAACGACTGTGTTTACCTGCAACGAATATGCAAGCAAGATTAAAAAGTTATCAACATTCAATCACTAACAGAAACTTTGGCAGTACACCTCATGGCTTATGTGAGAAGGGAGGCAACTCTTCACCTTGTGACCCAAGCCTATCTTCAATCTTCAGAGACATTTGGCTGTTGGACATTGCAGGTTATCATTGTTGATGATGTTTTTGTTTGCAGGAACGATACAGAGAACAGCGAGAATATTTGTTAAAGTCTAACGATGAGCTGAAGCAGAAGATCAGCAAGCTGAAGGCCATCCGTGCAGAGCAGGATCCTGAGATCAAGAAGGTGTGTGTGGACTGTTTGGGTGGCATACACTTGCCAATGACTACTTTGTTCCATCTTCCCGAGGCAAGAGAGTTAACTGAGTATAAAAGTCCAGTTTCATCCCTTGTCGAACTCGTCTGGTATTATGGAGTTACATTTTGACTGGACTAACAAGTCTATGCATAGTCCAATCAAAATCGGGCAACGAAATCAAAATCTGGTTCTTAAACTGTCCCGCAGATTTTGGTTGATTGCAGGATTTGCAAAGCATGTGCACCGCCAACTTGTTGTCAACAGATATTTTCAAAACGTTTTCATGTTTGTAATAAAGGTGCTTGCATGATTTGATGCACTTCGCGATGTAAGACCCGTTTTATCACAACATAGATCTTGATTATCGATTGACTGGGCGCCACCGTTTTGTTTGAAACAAATGCAAGTGATGGAATCTGATTGGTCAATAGGAGAGGCACAGAAGGGACATAACTCTTAATAACCACTGGTGGCGCTATGATTGATCCCAGGAATTCCAGCCAAGTTTGGCAAGGGTGGAAACTGAACTTTTAAAGTCAGTTAACTCCTTGCCTAAGGAAGATGACTTTGTTCTTCATCGATTTTTACTCTCATCAGTCTTACAACGTCATTGACTATACTCATCATATTACCTACTTTTGTGTCAGTCAATAACAGAGCATGTCTTGCACATCTTGCACAGCCAATAATATTTTCTTTTATTTGAAAGTTTCAGTGAATGGAACTACTTTGCTGTGCTATTTGGAATATAGCACCTGTGGGGATTTCATCTTCCCGAGTCAAGGGAGTTAACTGACTGTAAAAGTCCACTTTCCACCCATACTGAACTAGACTGGGTAGTGGCTATTACAAGTTATGTCCCTTCTTTGTCCCTCCCATCGACCAATCCGACTCCACCTCTTATATCACTTGCATTAGCTTCAAACAAAATGGCGGCGCCCAGTCAAGACGTTCTGATCGATAATCAAAATCTATGTTGTGATAAAACGTGTCTTACTTCACGAGGTGCATCAAATCTTGTGAGTACCTTAATTAAAAACATGAAAAGATTTGGAAAATATCTGTTAACAATGAGTTGGTGGTTCACATGCTTTGCAAATCCTGCAATGGACCGAAATCTGCATGTCAGTTTACGAACCAGGTGTCCATTTTGTTACATGATTTTGATTGAACTATACATAGACTCCTTACTCCAGACAAAAGATAACTCCCTAATTCCAGGCTAGTTCGACAATGGAGGAAACTGGACTGTTATAGTCAGTTGACTCCCTTGCCTCGAGAGAAATGTGATTTAGACTAGGTCCTCCATCTTGTAAGAGGTGACTAAAGTTGATTGTGTGGTCAGGTACCTGGCATCTTCCCGAGGCAAGTGTGTCCACTAGCTTCTATCAAAGCCTAGTTTCAACCCCTTGCCCCTTGTAATGAAAATGCGATATCCAATAAGATCTCTGTTCTTATCTCATATAGCTTCACAAAGATGGCGACAACAATAGGCGACGACTTAGTCGATCAGATAACAAAACCATTCACATTTTCATCCCTGACCCAAAAACATATGCAATTGTTGGGGGGTTTGAAAGATGCGAAGGACAGGCAGTGGTAAATCACTTTCATACAAATGTTGATTTTGTGAAACGTTCTCTGATTGGACTATGGATATGTGCGATAGTCCAATCATATGTAGCACATGAAAGCGTCAAGATGTGGCAAGGATGGAAACAAGACTTTGATAAAAAGGCTAGTGGACACTCATGCCTCAGGAAGATGGGTACCTGGTTGATTGTGTGTCATCCTGCAGATGTGCTATGATGCTCATAAAATCTGTTTTGATTATTGAAACGCTGCAGTGATGTAGCTAAAATATTGCTGACTGCAGACAAGCAACAGACAAACATTATATTTAACAAGTCTGTAGTAAGAGTTGACCTATTGTCTCAATATACCTGTGTAGTTGATGTTGTGTGGTGTTGCAGGTGATGGAGGAGATTGAGGTGATGGGGAGACAGGTGAGTGAGAACCACAAGATCCAAGCAGCCACACAGAAGACTGTTGCGGAGGTCAAGAAAAACATTGCAGAGAAGAAAGCAGCTCAGGTATGTATTCCCTGAATACAACAGTAATATGTTGTACTGTAATGTGTCAATACAAAAGTAATATGTTGTACTGTAATGTATCAATACAACAGTAATATGTTGTACTGTAATGTGTCAATACAACAGTACTATGTTGGACTATAATGTGCCAATACAACAGTACTATGTTGGACTATGAGTCAATACAATAGTAATATGTTGGACTATGTGTCAATACAACAGTACTATGTTGTACTGTAATGTGTCAATACAACAATAATATGTTGGACTATAATGTGTCAATACAACAGTACTATGTTGGACTATAATGTGCCAATAAAACAGTACTATATTGGACTATGAGTCAATACAACAGTACTATGCTGTACTGTAATGTGTCAATACAACAGTACTATGTTGTACTGTAATGTGTCAATACAACAGTAATATGTTGTACTGTAATGTGTCAATACAACAGTACTATGTTGGACTAAAATGTGCCAATACAACAGTACTATATTGGACTATGAGTCAATACAACAGTACTATGTTGTACTGTAATGTGTCAATACAACAATAATATGTTGGACTATAATGTGTCAATACAACAGTACTATGTTATACTGTAATGTGTCAATACAACAGTACTATGTTGGACTAAAATGTGCCAATACAACAGTACTATATTGGACTATGAGTCAATACAACAGTACTATGTTGTACTGTAATGTGTCAATACAACAATAATATGTTGGACTATAATGTGTCAATACAACAGTACTATGTTGTACTGTAATGTGTCAATACAACAATAATATGTTGGACTATAATGTGTCAATACAACAGTACTATGTTATACTGTAATGTGTCAATACAACAGTACTATGTTGGACTAAAATGTGCCAATACAACAGTACTATATTGGACTATGAGTCAATACAACAGTACTATGTTGTACTGTAATGTGTCAATACAACAGTAATATGTTGTACTGTAATGTGTCAATACAACAGTAATATGTTGTACTGTAATGTGTCAATACAACAGTAATATGTTGTACTGTAATGTGTCAATACAACAGTACTATGTTGGACTATAATGTGCCAATACAACAGTACTATATTGGACTATGTGTCAATACAACAGTACTATGTTGTACTGTAATGTGTCAATACAACAATAATATGTTGGACTATAATGTGTCAATACAACAGTACTATGTTGTACTGTAATGTGTCAATACAACAGTAATATGTTGTACTGTAATGTGTCAATACAACAGTACTATGTTGGACTATAGTGTGCCAAAACAACAGTACTATATTGGACTATGAGTCAATACAATAGTACTATGTTGTACTGTAATGTGTCAATACAACAATAATATGTTGGACTATAATGTGTCAATACAACAGTACTATATTGGACTATGTGTCAATACAACAGTACTATGTTGGACTATGAGTCAATACAATAGTAATATGTTGGACTATGTGTCAATACAACAGTACTATGTTGTACTGTAATGTGTCAATACAACAATAATATGTTGGACTATAATGTGCCAATACAACAGTACTATATTGGACTATGAGTCAATACAATAGTACTATGTTGTACTGTAATGTGTCAATACAACAATAATATGTTGGACTATAATGTGTCAATACAACAGTACTATATTGGACTATGTGTCAATACAACAGTACTATGTTGGACTATGAGTCAATACAATAGTAATATGTTGGACTATGTGTCAATACAACAGTACTATGTTGTACTGTAATGTGTCAATACAACAGTACTATGTTGTACTGTAATGTGTCAATACAACAGTAATATGTTGTACTGTAATGTGTCAATACAACAGTAATATGTTGGACTATAATGTGTCAATACAACAGTAATATGTTGTACTGTAATGTGTCAATACAACAGTACTATATTGGACTATGAGTCAATACAACAGTAATATGTTGTACTGTAATGTGTCAATACAACAGTAATATGTTGTACTGTAATGTGTTAATACAATAGTAATATGTTGTACTGTAATGTGACCAATACAACAGTACTATATTGGACTATGAGTCAATACAACAGTACTATGTTGGACTATAATGTGTCAAGACAAGAGTACTATTTCGGACTATGAGTCAATACAACAGTCCTATGTTGGACTTTGAGTCAATGCAACAGTAATATGTTGATCACACTGGACATCAGATTTTCCTCATGTCATGATAACCATGTAAACTTGTTCCTCTACCGTGGCAGGATCAGCTGAAGCTAGCCATCCTCACCAGCCAGCAGGAAGGGGAGAAGCTGTCGCAGAAGATAGTTCAGTCCCCAGAACGTGTGAAACAAGAACAGGAGCGGATGGAACAGAAGCTGGCTGGCCTGAAGATGACACTGGATGAGAAGCGTACACGCGGGGCCACGCTGAGGTCGGAACACAAGAAGGTGAAGGAGCTGGAGGCTTGTGCACTGAAAGCTCTCAAGTTGCTGCAGTCCATCAAGCAGGACGTGGACAAGGAGAAGTGAGTAGCTGGTATTCAGCTGATATATAGTTTGCAGTACCTCAGACTCTCTTGATCTTAAAGATTGGCATTGCATTATTTTTTATTCATTTTTAATCATTAGTTTATTATATATATATAAAATCAGGTTCGAACATATTACAGTTTTTACCTTGCACTGCTTGTTGGCTATCCCAGCGAAGGTATCAAAATCAACATAAATTCATCGGAATATATCACAAATTTATTTTTAACACAAGAAACCTTATGAAGGATGCAGTGCAGTGCTTTTCTGAACTTACGTGACTGTATGTACCGGTTCAGCAATGAATAAGGGTTGTGTATTCAAGTAAACACTCTTTGTAATTGTGATCCTTAGAAAAAGATATGTCCATAGCAAATCTAATCTTGAACCATTTGTCTCATAGCCTAAGATCACAGAAGATGGATATTTTTCTAGCAGCTAGACTAAGAATGCCAGGCTCATCCTCAACAAATAGCACATCTTTTATTCACACTTCATCTTCATGAACCACATCAATGAAATATAGCATGGATTGATATGATTAATTAATGATGGATGTTTCTTAAGCTACTTATTTCTGGTCCACAGCGAGGTTGCGGAGCAGATCTCTGCGAGTCGGGATCAGTACCAGGAGCAGCATCAGGCTCTGGGGGAGGTGACAGCTAAGCAGGACCAGCTGAAGCACGCCCAGGCCATCAGGCAGGAGAAGAGGACCAAACAGCACATGCAGCAGCAGGCGAAGATGAAGGCATACACCGAGCAGCTCAACCAGCTCAACGAGTCAGTTCAATGCACTTTCATAGTATTGTTTGGCCTTGTTACAGGCCTACCAAAGAAAATAACCTGTGTTCAAAACAGAAATGTGTATGCTATTTTGCACACTAAAATATCAACTAACAAAAATATGAGTAGACTTTGCACACTACAACTATTGGCAGGGTTGAGTATGAGTTGACAATGTATACAGAAAACAATGATATGCAATGAAGCTGCTGCTTACTCGTCAATTTCCAAGTGCTCTGTTGACACATACTCAATTCATTGTATATTCATAGTCTTGTTTCACAGACCCGTATCAGAAGACAACCAAGTCAGTTCATAGCATTGTTTCACAAACCTGTTCTGACCCAGTGTAGGATAAGTTCCCAACACTCTACTGCTCGTCATGGGTCTGTCCCATTACTTACAGAATGCCATGATACATCTGACTGCAGTGTGCACATCGCTATATAAGTGCAATAATCTTGGACGCGACGTTAAACCCCATTTCACCTCACCCACCTCACCTGACTGCAGTGTAAAACAACGAAGTAATAGCTGGAGACTGCAGGGCTAAATAGGTGTCCATGCTTGTCCTAAAATGAGAATTATTTGTGAAAGACTTTCAGTTTGATTGTTTTCATTGCCCAATTCTTGTCATAGGCCAACTCATAGTGGGGATTGGGTGGTCACAATGGTGGTTGAGTATGAATTGTACAGGTATCTGCTGCGATCATGAGCATTGTGGTTTGTCTGGTCAGGTTTTATTCTGAAGACTGCCATGATAGAGCTGTAATTTTGCTGACAATGAACAATACGCTATTGTCTCACTGAGACAAGTGATATAGATTTAAGTCTGGGACATTTATGATACAAAGTAATTTTAGTTCTAGGACTGTGTTGACTCCTTTCTTTGCCACTGAGTTATAAAATAAGTTTTTCATGTTGGTCATATCCGTTACATAGACCCAAAGGTCCCCAGCAACCTATGCTTGAATGAGGCATCTTTATGGATCTGGTTTTCTTGGTTGATCACATGTCATCATACCCTGACAGTGTGGATCATTGTTCATAGTATCAATCACTGGTTTGTCTGTCCCATACTCATATGTCATCATGCAAAATAAGTATACAAATGTAAAAAATATTTAGATTTTACAAATTTTACAGGTTGTCGCTATATAACTGTAATACTGTGGGTGGCGTTATACAAACAAAACAAACAATACCTCTTGATTTTTGTTATTGATCCTCACATGCCACTAACTTACATTTTCAACGACCCGTGAAGATGTTGGGTAGAATAGGTCATCAGCAACACATGCTGCTGTAAAAGGAGACTGCTTGTCGTAAGAGGTGACTAACAGGATCGGGTGGTCAGGCTCGCTGCCTTGGTTGATTAATGTCATCTTATCCCAGTTGTGTGGATCGATGCTCATGGTGACTCTATTATTTTCAGACCGCGGTCATATACCGGTAGCTTAAATATTGCTGAGTATGGCGTTTAACAACTAACCAAAAAACCAAAGAAACAAAACATTTTTAACAGTGAAGGTCTTGGCCTGACTCTACTGTTGACATTCACTCACTGTTTTCACTGTTAAGACTGGTGAAGTCCCACTCAGAGGACCAGGACGATGAGCTGAAGCGTCTCCAGCAGAGTAAACATCAGGTTCTGTGTGAGCTGAAGGAGCAGGAGAAGGCCACCAGCAGCCGGGTGGAGAACATTCACAAACTGTACTCACAGATTGTAGACTTGGTAGGTTCACACTGATCACAGCAAACTTGTTTTAATGGGTAGCCTCATGTTGTCAGTGTGATTATGTATATCCTGCATAATATCATATATGCATATATATACTAAAGAAGATAAAAAGATTTTTCAGTCGGCTAAATCTAATTCTTGTGGCCTAATGTGTAATGATTCATCAGAAATGTAAGTGCATCTGAATGTGTTTGTCATTGCAGGTTGATGTGATGCATGCTGACCTGGGCTGCAACTGGGACTCGTTCAGACAACTCCTGAAAGCTGAATTAGACAAACTATTCTGATTGGCGACCGAGCTTCATCAACCCATCTTCAGAAAACTGTACATATAATACACACTTTCACCAGCCTGACTGGCACATCCATCTGTTCCTATTCTCCCTATCATCTCTATGTCACATTCTTATCTATATTGCTGTGTGCTACCAGACTCTAGGACTTGCTCACATCATATCATGTAACTATGTCACTGTGGGCTACCAGACTATAGTGATTGCTCACATTTCCTGTGTCACATAAACTGATACCACAGGAGATAATGCAACAAATAAAGCCATGTCTAAAGAAATCAGTTTGTTTTGTTCCTTCAACAAAGAAAGAGGAGAGCCTCATAAAATTGTCTTTATTTGTAACAATGTGCAACATCCATACAAGTGCATCATCAGTCCAGAACAAGAGATTGCAGGCATACCCCCCTAAAGTGGAAGAAAATTCACTTAGCTGAGGTAATGAATACAACTACTGGTAATATTCATTCCTTTCTGTATGTAGATGAAAAGGATAGCTTGAGATCCTGCATATAGCTTGGCATCCTGCACATCCTGTTGCTGGAGAGAACCTTCCACAAAACAACAGTTTTCTACCCCTTTTTGTAAAATATTTGATGTGAATTTGTCATTCAATCCTTTTGGACAAAGAGGAGCCAGATGATTGTACCTCTACAGCCGTCTCAGCCAGATAAGCTGACACATCCCTTATGTAACCGGCTGATGTACAGGTGAAAGACTCAAAATGTAACAGTTGCCCCAGTTGGGAAGGTGACCAGGATGGCTGGCAACAATGATTTCAGCTGTCGAGTTTAGTGTCATCTGACAGAAGTGTCATCTCGAATGTTATAGTTCCTTGATTTAGGAGCACTTCTACGTGGATCCTTCACTTTATGGGAGACCGTTTTCTTCTCGGGTGATAGCCGGTTGGTGAGGTCTGTCTTAGTTCCAGATATGCTCAGCCCCTTTTCTCTGGTTACACGTGGTGAAGTACGGATGTTAGGAGATGGTGGATTCATAACATCTTAAAAAAAATGTGAAAATGCATAAATAGCTGTAATTTTAACTAAGCAACACAACTTTCAAGAATAATTCAAAACTTCTAATGAAGACCCAGGTTCCGATTCCCCACATGGGCAAAATGTGTGAAGCCCATTTCTAGTGTCCCCCACAACGATATTGCTGGAACATTCCTAAAGGTGGTGTAAAACCATACTCACTCACTTTAATGTTCTCATACAATGCAAAACATTTTCCAATGTATACTTATGATCAAGTCCCTTCAGTTATTTTATGTACTTCAGTTATCAGCAACTGCAATACATCAGTCAGTAGGCTCACACATCTGTAGCTACACTGAAGACTTACCAGCTCTGGAGCGAGGTGTTTTGGGTGTGAAGATGCCCGGACTCTGCCTGTCGTCCAGCATCCTCCAGATCTCCTGCAGCGACTCTCCCCCTGCAGACGACATGCTCAGTAGCAGCTTCATGTCACTGGTCACTCCTTGAGGGTGGGGCTGCTGTGTGTCCCCCAGGGAACTGGACGTCTGCTCCAGATGTCCTGATGGTTCACAGAGCATTGACAAGAAAAATAAAATTGCTTGAATTTGGATTCACTATGGTTAAAGAGGGACTAAGCTCCATTTCGAGTCTGTTTCTAGAGGTTGTTACTGGTGCCATGTGTTAAACAGTTACAATGTCTCTTGAGTCATCTGGGTAATTGTTTACATCTAAACAGTTATCCATCACAAAATTGTAGTCCGACAAAGCAATTAAACTTGTTATGATTGCTCTATTGGCGAGTCTAGTCTGTCCTTTAAGACATATTTAGTGGATATTTTCTTCTGGGTTCGAATCAGACATCAACGGATATTGCAAATGCAAGACTGATAGAGTCCAAACTGAATTTAGAATAACAATTTAGCCTGATGGTCTTGGTCTGAAGTTGAGGACTGCAATGTTTGAAGATATTACCTGTGTGGGGATTACTTGAATGTCGTGTTGGGATGTCGTCTAAAGATTTATCTGTGGACTCCATCACTGGCCCCACATGCCTCTGGGCATACTGCAGCTCCTGAAACAATGAGTCCAGCCTAGAGATGCTGCAAAACCTGCCTATCAGTGAAAGAATATGTGTGTTTATTGTTGAATGTCCCACTCTGCAATATTCCAGCTATATGACGGTGGCATGTAAATAATTGAGTCTTGACCAGATAATCCAGTGGTTGATAATATGAACAACAATCCATGCTGTCAGGGTCTAATGACATGCCAGCAAGCAAGTTGCAGACCCTTACCATCTGATCCATTTGGTCGACTCTTACGACCAGCATAGGTTGCTGGAGTCCAATTCTAACACAAGGTAGTGAGAGAATGAATAGGGTAGACATACCAGTTCAGACCCTTGTTCATCTTTTGCCTGATCAATATGACTGAGATACACGTTATTCAGGTCATGTTTTAACACATAATCTTAGTTGTATGATTGTTGCTGTTCAAACATACTTCAGACATTCCAACAAGAGTTATGTCCCTTGATAAAATAAAATGCTAGTCTTTGTGTTTAACATCCCCATTCTCCTCACTTAATATGACAGATTTGGCTAACTGCATCTGACCTTGGATTACACATAAATGCAAGTTGAATTTTGTTCAAATTTATCAGAACATGTTGATATTGTCTCCTGTCATGTTGGTGACTGAGGACATCCTCTGTTCAGACTGATTTAGTAGGCAGCAGTTATATAAAAATATTTCTTGTAAAAAAGGTAAACTCTTTGCTCCAAATCATAAACATTTGGGTAAGTTATTGTCATGGAGTCAGAGTCCTGTGGTTGCATTCATCACATCTGCAATCCGCCTTAACTCCTCTTAACATCCTTGCAACCCGCCAAAAGGGTGTAGAGACAACTCACCTGTTTCGTGAGCTGGTACTGCAGGGATTCCAGCTGTTGTAGTTTACTGTGATACTGGTCTGAGTAGGGTCTGGACTCCATGGGAGGCCTGGATCGAGGTGGAGACACTGTCTCATGTCGTACTGCTGTGATGGGGGGTTGGGACTGGGTGCTACCTGCTTCATGGAAAAATCAGCTTTAAATATCAGATGTTTTGATCATACGAAAAATGTCTAAATAGCTCGACAATGTTCGAAACAATGATTCCACTGCAAACATGCTACATGACAACTCTTCCATTACGTTATCCATTGGAATGTTAGAATCTGAGTGGAATACATAACTGTAGGTTTTGATCTATTTGCTCACTAAAATATAGAAATTATGATGTTTTCTGAAAGAAAGAAAGAATTAAAAAGTAAATTCCTGTTTATCATCCAAAACTGGCTCCCACAGTAGATATCGTTTGGGTGAGATCATGCATCGCTGCAATGAAATTGCATTACAATGCTTTGAGGACCATAGTGACGTCATTGGTTACCATGACGTCACAATCAAATGACATCACTAATGGCTCTGCTACTGAAGCTGTTAGCAGTACTTTTAACACTTAAGACACTGCTTATTACTGTCTACAAACTGAAAACAGTTGGAAGAATGATGTTGGATGATAAATAAAATCTCACCCTCGTGTCTTTTGATATAAAATATATCAACACTCGTTGATAAAAGTGGAAAAACTCCAGAAGCCTCAGAATTTGTCCACTTTTATCAACTCACGTTGCTATATTTGATATCAAAAGACACTGGGGTGAGATTCTCTCTATATACAAAAATGTTATCAGTGATTTCTCCTGTCTGTCATTAGTACAGTGTATATATGGTATGTTTGGAGAAGACATTTGTACCAGATTTCTTAAGCTCTGCCCTCAGTCTGTTCCCAATTTCAATCAGCTGTTGTTTTTCCTTGGCCAGCTGACTGATATGTTTCACTGCCTGCTTCAGCTTGGCTCGAAGCTCCGACACTTGAGTTGTCTCCCCTTGTCTGTCCTCCATTATTCCCATGGTGTCCATGGTGGATCTGATACCACTTCCTTTCTGTTTCAGTCTCAGTATCTCATCCTGGAGCTGCTGGATCACCAGCTCCTACATGAAGACAGAAGGATGTACTGTAGCTTTAGTACAAGAGTACGACAAGAATGTAACAAATTACCATGGCAACAGTTGGTACTGCTTGATGACTTGGATGATAATGAACACTGCAAATGTGTGTAGGCATAATAAGTTGTAGCAGCATCATGAGGGGTACATGGAGTTTTATTCGTCCCGCATTAGGTTTATACCATAAGCCTCCCAAGTGACCCTGCTGTCTTACCGACATGTTTTAATATGATATTGTAAAAGAATTAAAACAAATTCAAAACTGTTAGCTTCAGCTCATTTGAACAGCTGTTTTGTGCTATGTCACATGACTTTCATTGCCTCGGAAAAAGTGTACAGCTTTTTGCATCAAAGCGGGGTATAAGAGATTTATTGCCCCACTGAGAAATTGATTACCCTCCAAGGCAGGTTACACAGTATTTTATCAAGATCATGTGGACCAATCAGATCTCTACATTCTGACATGGAGGTAGATAACTGTATATGTCAGTACTGTAGTCTTAATATTAGCGCTCCATTCCAATAGGCACACCTTGACCAATTTCAAGACCAATCTGTAAGTAATTGTTATAAGCGCCCGGAAAGGGTATGTAACAGCTTAGCAACTATCATCAAAGAAGTTTTAGTTTCAAAATGCTGGTATGTTTTTTGTGAGAGCAACTAATCCGAGGTTTAACTCCACAAAATTTTCACTATGTTTTTCACTGGTTCATATTTTTCATATATTACCTATTGTGCCATTACAGACATCCTGCATCATATGTTTCGGCCAACACTGGAAGGCGTCAATTTATAAGATATGACTTACCCTGGTCTAATGACACAAATGATCTATAAACATGACTAAATGTTCATAAATGTCCAGCACTCCTAGGAGGAAAAGGGTCTGGTGTTTTGAGAGCTCATATTTCATTAGATTTCATCCCAGATAGGTTGTTCTCAGGAAAAAACATACCAGTGCTTTGAAACCTCAAAATCATCACAGTTCAATATGTCCAGGATATGGGAATACAGAACATGAAAACATGTCGTGATGCTCTGTACTGAGATGTTCAGCGCATCCCGTTTCAACAGGTTCACATGACGGTGATTTACACTATTAAACGCTCCTACCTGTGCCCCGAAGTTGACAACTGGTCTTCTCTCACTTATCTCCATCTTCATGGCTGACAACTGGAAGAAACAAACATCTCTCAGGAAAACAAGTATTCGGAGGAAGTAGTAAGAATGCAAACATGCAAGAGGAAGGGAATACGACAATGACAAAGAACAGTGTACAAATGTATTGCATAGGTATGGAATCTGACCTCATTGGAGAGGGCGGTGACCTCTGTGTTTCTCTCCAGGGAACTGCGGTAGTATTCATCTGCTTCCTTCCGTGTCTCCACCAGCTGCTGCTCCAGGTCGGACACGCGTGACCTCAACCCTGCCGCCTCGGCCTCATGCCGCCTCTTCCCAGCGTTGACCTCATACTGCAGCTGATCGATTTCCACCTGCTTCTGACGGGGCTGAAATTGTACACAGAGTCTGTATGGTGCTGACAAACCAAGAAACATAATAAGCGTAATTCGGGATTCAAAACCCACAATCACAAGTAACGGTATCTGGCACAAAATGAGCACACTGAACTGAACAGAGGTTCAAATCTAACAACTGTCCACATCCAAGAACCAAGGCACCCATATGAAAGGTATTCAGGCATCTATACAGATTCGGAGATTCGGAAGGAGTCTAGGCCAGAGTGAAGTCTCACCATACTTGCTAGCTGTTTTACATGCGACACAAAATGGACTCACTAAATGAACATCTTTAAATAGTCTGTGGTAAAGTATGGGAGTGCTAGGATTGCTTTGTGGAACGGGTCCCAGTCCCCATACTTAGGACTCCACACTGAAGATAGTATAGAAGTACTGATGAGTGTTGTCACCTGCTTCTCCAGCTGAGACCCCCGACTCTCCAGGTACTGTATTCGAGCCTGCTGCTTGCGGACCTGGGCCGTCAGCTCCACCTTCTCACTCCTCACACTGCCTGATGATACAGAGAGGACACTGTTGCTACTATAAGTACTAGGGATGTCATCTTCTATCAATTATTGTATCAGTAGATTTTTAATGTCAATGCTGTATTGATACAAATTTATGACTATCGATACTATATTATCAATTCACTGCCACGGAAACGTTTATATTTGTTAAGATTAACATTGTTATGATGGAGAATGAAAGGGTTGAAATTTAAGAATTAAGCCTAGTTCATATTTTGGATTGAATTGATTAACTGCAGGCCTACATAGGTAATTTTTTATCTATACACATACAGATTTATTAATTTTTTGATATATCAATACATTGTGATTCCTCTGTGGTGATATATTGATACTAGCATTTCCCCCTAAATATCACCCCTGAACAGTACCAATATTCTTTACATCACTCGGTCAAATTGGCCTCCAGGAACTATGTTTGAGTTACTTAGAAACAGTTTGCTGCTGGGATGTCCTTGTACAGCACCAGTATATCATGCTTGTATCATCAGGGGACTGCGTCCTTCATATCCATCTACAAACAGCCATCTGCTCACTCCCTTTACACCTCCCACAGTCTCAACATGTTTCTAACAAATCTTGAGCGTTGGGGTAGCCTAGTGGTTAAAGCGTTTACTCATCACCCTGAAGGCCCGGGTTTGATTCCCAACATGGGTACAGAAGCCCATTTCTTGTGTCCCCGCTGTGATATTGCTGGAATACTGCTAAAAGCAGCTTAAAACCCTACTCACTTCTAATAAATGTGGGGTTTCCCAATGACCTATGATGTCACAATTTCAGGCTAGGATCTGCTGGAAGCATTGGGTACAAATCCCAAATATACTCAAATTCAATCCTTGCCCTGGTTTGCACAATTATACCCTAGCTCATGCGTTTCACCGAAGTGGTAAACGTAAACATTCTGTGTCACATTGGGCTCTCCACTCACATTAAACCGACATTCCGTGATATAACTGAAATACCATTCAAACTTGTGTTTTCCCAACTCCGTTCCTGCCCTCTGTGCCCCCGGCTATTCTTACCCAGCATATTGTTCAGCATCTGGATGTGGTTCCTGACGACAGTGTTGTCCTTCACCTCGGCCATGACGTCATCACTGTCAGCGTGTGACACGACCCCGGGCATCTTGTGAGCCTCAAGTTCCTCCCTGAGCTTCCTCATCTTCTGCTTGAGCTGTGTGACCTCCAGCTCCAGACTCGACACATGGTCTGAGATATCAAACATGGAGTGTCAACACTATACCTAGAACATGGTTCATACAATACTAGTCTGACAATCTGCCACGACTTTTCCATGTCTTCTCCAGTGTATTATCTGTGTTCAGTGATATTATATCAATAGAGTTCATAACAAAACAAGCCGGAAATACTCATATTCCCTGCCAATATGACATGTCTGGTTGTCTGCAAGGCATTAGCCCTCCTGAAATGAGTACTACTCCCATTTTCAGTCTAAGTCAAAGTCGTTGCTATGAAAACTCAACATTTTTTGGGGTTAAAATCCTAAACTATCACAAGGACTCGGTTCACCACTAGACCCATCTATGTGCCAAGTTTGGTTAAGATATTTTTCATGGTTTTGGATTTCTGCTTGTGATGGACAGACGGATGGACAGAAAGACGGAAGGACAGCACCCATTCCTATATCCCCCTTCCACTTCGTGCCGGGGATAATAAACTCACAGCTACATGAAAAAGGGATGATTGTTGTCCAATGTTGTGTTTTATTTACTTTCCTGTCACTAATATTCCACAACAAAACAAATTACTGGTATAAATTTTTTCCATGACTATTTCTAACATATTCAGTGGTTCAGAGACGCTTGGTAACAGTGCCAGGCTGTGGAGTGCATTCAGTAATGCAGAAATCATGACACAATCTACTCCTGGAATCAACACATTCGAGTGATTTCTCCGACCTCAAACATGTTTCTATAAATTTGCATAATGACCTATAGTCGCATCAGTTTTACACAGAAGAATGGCCAGAGAATTCCTTGCTCAGAATCAACTGCAACAACAATAGCGTGACATCATGAATGGTTTAACTTGTACTATACACCAAGATGTTAGGAACATCAAACTGAAGCTCGGGCTTGTTGGGCTCCACACACCTCTGGAGGGAGCAGCAGCGCTGCCTGGCTGTGTTGGGAGGTCCTGTCCCAGATCCTCCATCTGTTCCCTCATCTGACGTATCACCTCCCGGAGGTTGTCGTTCTGGTCCTGAAGCTGCAGCAGGTCATGCCGACTCTCTTCCTCAAACACGGAGCTGTCAACCTGGCAGGGTTCCAAGTGTACGTGTCATGACTTGATCTTGTCATTAACTTCATAGTTACTTACCATCTATTATTGAAATTGTACTCTCATGGTTTGTTGGTTGGTTTGTAACGCCACACTCAACAATATTCCAGCTATATGATGGCGGTCTGTAAAAAGTCTGAACCAGACAATCCAGTGATTGACATCATGAGCATCGATCCACGCAATTGGGATACATTGACATGCATCAACCAAGTCAGCGAACCTGACCACCCTATGCCGTTAGTTGCCTTTTACGGCAAGTATGGGTTGCTGAAGAGCTATTCTACTCCAGATCTTCACGGGTGAGTTAGTAAATTGTTAAAACATGCTTCAGATTGGTTTGTGGATATATCTTATGATGATAGACATGTCAAATTATTTCTTCTGGTATCAAATGGTATCAAATGTATGTGTGAGATCAAATTCAAGGTCTGTGATTGGCTCCATGGTGATGACCTAAGGTCAGAAAATGACGGACTGATTGTAATTCAATCATAAGTTTCCTGTGCTTCAGGGGAATTCACCTATGCTTGTGTTTAAACATTATTTAATACATGTTCTTTGATCATATCTCGTTAGCATTATCATCATCACCATGATAATCCACATATATGGCAAAAACATTTTTGTGGAGGGTCACATTAGGTATGAGAAGTAAGCAATAAGCTATGTGACATAACTCATGACCGATGTGTTAGGTATTAAAGTACCACTGCAATCATGAGAACAGACAAAATATGCAACAATTCGATGCTAAAATACAGCGATATTAAGGTGTCAGAAACAGATTACTCCACCTGTGCCCATCATATACAACTCTTTGTAAGATATATGGTATCTGACAGACACTTGTGTAGTAATCTCTATATCCAAATTGTAGACATATCCTACGTAAACTAATTTCCCTTGAAATGACAGTTCAAATTGATTAAGTGTGACAGTGTTAAGGCCAACATGATTTAACCACACATTGCCTGAAGACAAAGCCAGCATACAAAAGGCATGGACCAGAACCAACTCAGTTTCTCATTTTTTTGCCAGTTGAATTTATAGAGTAGCCATAGGCTGCATGACTTGTGGTGACAGATCCTCTAAGACAAACATTTAAAATTAGCTCATAATTATATTTAGCTGATTTGATTAATCATACGGGTCAAAGTAAAAATAAATGGCCACTGGTCAAGTAGAATGTTTACAGAGTTAGGATTATCAAATAAAAATAAAAACAGAAACAGACAAAGCAGAAAGTATGAAAAGTATAAAAGATGAAAAGTCGAAAGTATTTGATATTACATTAATGTTCTTGTTGATAGGAATTCCATGGTGTTTTAGGGTTGCCATGGCGATGTTTCGGTCCCGCTGTAGAGTGTTTATCAGCATGTCTCTCTGCTCCATCTCCCGCAACTTCTCCCTCACCTCAGCTACAGCCTGCAACATCCACATGGGCATCACATACCTGGTCCTGATGCTGGACTACTCATACCATCAGGCCAGTTTCATTCAAACATGTCAACCTTGGTTTGTCTATCCTGTTGGTACCCTTTAAACAACATTCACTCACCCACCTACACTATGTGAGTATGTGATTGAGTGAGGTTTTACTCCGCTTTTAGCAATATTCCAGCAATATCATGGCGGGGGACACCAGAAATGGGCTTCACACATTGTGCCCATGTCAGGAATCGAACCCGGGTCATTGGTGCGACAAAGCGACCGCTTTAACCACTAGGCTACCTGACCGCCCCACACCTACATTTGAGCAGCTAAATTTATTATCATTATTGTTGAAAATATAGCAACAATCACTCAAATACCAACCAACCATAGTTTCATTAATGTCATTGATATTTGTTTACCTATGTTACCTACATATTGTAAACCAAAAATTTCTTTATATTTATTTTGTGTTCTTTATCTCACTTATGCCATAACAATATATACTGAAACACTTTGAAAACAAATATTCGCTTTTTTGTAATATGTCGCCAAATGGCCACAAATTAATTAGGCATGAGATAATCAAACATAATAATGTTGTTGTACTGGTTTAAATGTCATTTGATGTGTTTGGAGATGGACTTGAGCACAAAAACACATAATTTGGAATTACAGTTGAGTTTGCATTTTCATTGGGTTTCAGTATGATTAGTTGCTCTTTCAAATCTTCATTTGGGAGAATTCCCTTTGGCATTGCCTTAGCTGACAGACTGACAATAAATAGGATTCCTGGCAACCCGCTCTGGTGGTGAAAACTAGAAAGTATCTGCTACCTGTACACCTCATTCAAACCTCATTTAAAGGGGCACTGATCTAACGGACTGGTTGTTGCCTTTGTTATTGTTTTTCCCCCGTGAGTACCCGGATGATACGCAACGCAACTGAGCGTGACCAGAGACTGGGCTACCGTCTGCAAGGACAGCTAAATAAACTTGGAGGCTGGAGGCAATATTTGTTTTACGCATTTTTGAACACTGATTGGTTAACTGTGATCTATAAAGATTTCGACAAAGGGCGCATGTTAATTCATTTCTTCAGCCTAAACAAACAGACAAAAAGAACAAGGGAGCTCATCGGATGTCGTCATTTGGAAATACCCAAATATTACTAAAAACAGTATCCATGCAGTGAAAGCATTTTCGGATTTCAGATTGCGTCGATAATACGATTACTACTCCCTTGTCATCCACGTTTTCTCGTATAACCCTACACTTGTGTATTTGTCGTCATTCACTTGATGCTCAGTTAATGAATTTATTACAGGTACAATTAGTGGTAGCACCACTTCTATTACCTGACAAAGGTTCCCATTTGGCATTTATTGTGTCTGGGGTAATTATTCAATCTAAATCCAGGTTTGAAGTGAGGTGAAATGTGTGTTATGTAATATGCACGTGGCAGCCCAGCAAGTGATGAATGATCAGTTGATTTACTTTTTTTGTAAATCAACGGATCGTTCGTAGTCATCAAAGGATTAACAGAAAATACGTTGATTGATTAATCACTGTTATCTTGCACAGTGGATATGTCAAGAGTGAGTGTTTACATGTCTAGGTTTACTAAAACAAAGGGAATACACTCATATCATGGCGCGAAGTGCCGATGTAACAACAACATACTTTGTTCAAAGGGTTAACTGATAATACGTTGATTGATTGATCATTGTTATCTATCACTCAATGGAATTTTTAGGAACCGTGGACGCTATGAAAATAGTTGTCACGTGGGCTTTCTCAGCCGACCATTGAGACTTGACACCTATGTAAAACACCTGAAACAATCCAAGCGATCAGTTGAGAAACGAACACAGGTTATAATATCCCGAAACGATATATATCTTTTAAAATATTTGATTGTTACTAAGACACGTGACATCGAATAAGTTTCTTTGTACAGCTGCAGACGAGTGGAATATTGTTCCTTTGTGTGGATATTCACGGATACATTCCTCGAACAAGGAAGCTGCCTAAAACTTATACACATAAATTTGGTAGGTTGTAATTATGATATCTGCATTTTGTTTTCCTTCATTTGAACCGATTCGTTCTTGTTTCTCTACGTCTTGGTTGGGAAATTCTTCAATACGCGATAGACGTTGTTGTCACAGGTCTTTTCCTTTGTAAGCGTGTATATATTACCGTCAATTTGTAAAATGTGATTCTCACAGGCAATTTATAAAATGTGTAAATATTTCAGTCATTTTGACTAAAAAATCTGTCCAGATTGATCAAGACGATCAAAAGGGCCTACAAACATCACAACAGATTATTATGTAGGATTAAAAGCCAAACAACTTCGAAATGTACTTTTCAACGTTACATTTTCAGTCTCTTGGTGATGACATTAAACATCAAAATGTTTGGAATTCGTTGTCATAATAATACAGATGGAAATGTTTTTCAGTCAATTTGTAAAATAACCGAATATTTAGACGTTTATTAAATTTGTTACACATTTGACAGTAAAAAATTATACACACTATAAAAAAAACATATGCTCAGGTGAAATATATACTTTGTGTTGCAAGTCAAAAAAGTGTAAACGTAAATCGCAAAATTACCAAGCAAGTGACTTATCAAAACTTCGTCACCATTACCGATGCTACTCACAAAGATACCTACATTTCCTTATTATCTCGAAAACTGTATTTCATTTTGTTGATCAATGTGAACATACGCCCTTATTACTACCCATAAAAGTGACTAATGCGCTTACGAATGGCACAGCAGAGGTCGCGAACTAGTCTAGATTTCTGCTATACATCCAGGTATTCACTGGGAAAAAACAATAACAAAGGCAACAACCAGTCAAGGGGAATTGCGTTAGATCAGTGCCCCTTTAAGTCTAACCTCTGCTGATGACCTGATTCCATGCTGATGTCTGATTTAACATGTTACAACTTTGAGCTTCATTCCTTGATCCAAGGAGGTGAGGTTATTGATGAGGTCCACAGACTGGCTATTTCACCTACCTGATTCGAAGCCGATGTGAGCATCTTGATGAGGTCCTCGGACCTACTGTTTCTCCCAAGCCGATGTGAGCTTCCCAATAAGGTCTTCAGACTGGTTATTCACCTACCTGATCTCGGGCAGAGGTGAGCTTTTTGATGAGGTCCTCGGATCTTTCATACTGATGTCTGTCTGTATCCTCCAGCCTCCTCTGCCAGTCTAGCTCCAGCTGTGCCTTGCCTCTCTCCAGACTCGCCTCTCTCTCAGCTGCCTGGCTCAGGTCCCTCTTGTACCTACAAGGAGAACCAGTTATACAGGGATAGACACGGTCACTAGTCCGTCAGTAGGACTCGTTGTTTTATCCAAAAAATATGTATTTTTGACAGTGAAACTATCATTTATACTTATCCTGACTCATACCAATTGGCTATCTTAACACATTTCCGAAAGATAGTGGAAACTTCCTGATCTGTGTGCTAGAGAACACAAAACACAGAACACAAGCCGGGACTGCTCATGCGCACCAGAAACACGTGACCAAGCCGATATACTCGTCACTCTCTTCTTTCCCTTACCTAAACATGTACGAGGTGGAAAAGGGGATGGCTAGTGGGCACTTTAGCGTATGAATATTATATTTTAACTCGAAGAACTACATATTTTATTTCATCCTGACTCATATAAATTGCTTGAATCCCACTGTAGGTGGTGAGTTCCACCTGTTGGCGTGATTCAAATCAAAATCTGTTCAATAACTTAAATCTTCTTATGTCCTTATTGGGTACCACTTCCTCCTTGAGAAAGAGAGGAGTAAATCTAATAGATTTTGTTGCTTTAGTAAAGAGTTCTAAGAAATGTATTCCCGCTTACTTAAAACGATTACAGTGTTAAGAAGGTCCTAGGCTTAGCACAATCGTTTTCATTCATGTTCTGAACTACACTGTAAAACAGGGGACATGGGACTTGTGGTTGTTGGTTATGGGACAGTAAACTGTCATGGACAAGTCTGTGTGATAATGGGGGAGTGTTCTGTAGTCTATCTTCCAGCAGGCACTGTCAGTTGTTGTGTGACTACTAATGGTCCAGATTGGTGAATTTCAGCAACATCTATCTCTGAGATAGGGATTAGCAAGAGCGGTGTCCGATCTCCAGAAACAACCTTCCATGGTCGTCAGGTTGGTGCAGTTCCAATGAAGCACTAGGGTAGATGTTATACTCTGACTTTGTGAGGGTTGGATGCTGATGGTGGATCCCGCCCTCATGCCTTGTAGGCTCTCAGAATGACCGCGCTCATCCAGGAGATGGTTATATCATAACACCTGGTATATATACCAGTTTTACCAACATGAGGCAAACAGAAAGCAATGATTCCACTGTAGGATGAAGCCTACTACAGATGATGTCCAGTTTGTATATCCTACCTGTCAATGTCGTGTTTCTTCTGCTGCAGCTCGACCTGGAACTTGCCCTCCCTCTCTCTCAGGGCCTCCAATTCCACATCTCGCGCCACCTGACTGTGGGACATCTCCCCCAGGTGGCGCTCCCACTTGTCCTGTTGATTCTCCAGTTCTTCACGGAGTCTGAAATATAAACAGAGATTTTTCAAGTGCATGAGAGTGTGATAAATGACGGAGTAACCTGTCTCAGTGTGGGAACTGCCTGGCCTCCACATCAGCATCCAGCAACACACATACACAGGAGCACTCCTCAACAACATCCACTGACTGTACAGCTCAATTGTGACATTGTACTAATATGGGTCCAGGAAACTATTTTTACCTAGTTCAGTCATTTTGCTAACTCAGAAATATACCGTAGTGTTGCAAGTACAGGTCTATCTTTGAGCGTTAGCCCAGCCCCTATTCTCGCTCGTTGAGTAAAGTTGGCAATCTAACATTTTAAAACCCAACCCACAATTTGCAATAACATAGTCACGATCAGGTATGGTCTAGTGTTTCTTATTTCCTTATGTTGTGTGACAGTTGGTGATGTGATGCGGTGTGACAAACATTTTTCTACATATTCTTCCAAGACATAACTATTATCAATGTGTGACTATAGCCTCTATTCGAAACATTTATAACAGTTTTGTCAAGAGTAACATCTACATGAGATGTAACTGCAGGTTTTGGTACGCTGAACACTACACTGATACTACAGCAGCCTCCTACTTGGTGATTTGGACCTCCTTGTCCTTGCCGAGGTCCTGGTTCTGCCACTCCAGCCGTCGGATCTCGATCTGCTGGGTCTCCAGCTGCGACTGCAGCTCACGGACATTGGTCTGTAGCTTCTCCTCGCGCTCAACACATGCGTCCTTCACCTTGCCAAGGGCAGCTTCCTTCTCACGCATCATCAAGTCCATCTCGGAAAATCTGCAGTAATATGCCCATGTTATTTTCTTGTCCCCATGTCTCACATGTTGCAGACAAGATGCATATGTTGGAAATAACAGGCATAAAATGTTACAATATGTGGCAGGATTTCACCTAGATGTACAAAAGTGGGGGTCCAGAAGACCCTACTAATTAATTTGAAGGGTCCTTGCAGGAAATGTGAGGGTCTTGATACGCTGTAGGTACTATGAATATTATGAATGCAGTATATATTTGTTCTGTGTTTTCACATTTGTGTGTTGCATACCCCTGATTTCAGATGCCTGCTGGTATATGTTCTGTGAAACATGTTGTGTTCTTCCACTAGAGTAATTATATGTCATTACTTGCGCTGGAAGTCCACCTGTAACCTGGCGATCCCCGTCTCGGTCTCACGTAGCTTGGTCTCCAGCTCAGATATTCTGAAATATGTAGCACCTATAAAACAGTGGCAACTCTCTACAAGTACAACATTACCATTTTCATAGATTTATGCAGTTTTCAGTTCAGGTAGTCTTCAACATGTCCAATAAGCACCAAAGCTTGCAAATTTCTTATGTGTAAAAACATAGTCACAATTTCTTATGTGGTTTGACATGGGGTACATCAAATATTGTATTGGTGAATAAAGAAGAATATCTCATTTCCCAGGTCCCTTCTAAACTCCACATTTTAGGCTCACAGTAGTGCCTTTATTTGCCTATGCAGCCTTCTGTCAGCACTCACTCACCTTGCGTTCTTCATGACTGTGACGTCCTTGATGGCCCAGTCCCTCTCCTTCACAGCCTTCTCCAGCTGCCTCGTCTGGGACTCGGATTCCTTGCACTGCTCGCTCTGCTTGTTCCGGGATGACTTCATCATCTCAAGCTCCTTGTCTAACAGCTTTGCCTGAGAAACCATCACTTTATGAAAATGCCATAAAAACAACTGACATCTTGAAAGTGGTCACAAGCTATTGACCGTATTGAAGCGGAACTATGTGCATGGCTAGACACATGCATATCACATTCTCTGGTAAAATGTATTTCATGGCAGACTTCAAAATCAGTCACAGAATACTGAGTCAAGACATGATTGCACAGTCTATTATAAAAATACATTGAAACAAAACCATTCTTAGAAACCATTGTCATGTAATGGTGTGTTTGGTTAAATGCCAGTTATATCATGGCATGTCAGCTTCGTGTGTGTGTTGTGGGAGGGAAGGAAGCCTGAAGTGAAACCCACGAGCAAGGATATGGTGCTGACAAACCTAGAAACATAATCTGGGTGCCCCTGTCAGGTAATAAATAACAGAGATACTATCATTTGAGAAATTGGTAACTTCTCTTGAACAGATGACCTACCTTGAGCTCATACTCCAAAACTTTGGCCCCCATTTCATCTGCTTTTACACGGAATTCATGTTCTCGCCTTTTAAGTGCCTCTTCAAACCCTAGAAAATAAGCAAATTAACTTGAAAAGTGGCAAGAATAGCAGTGAGTTTGGTGTAACACACAGGGTTTCACAATATCCTGCATATTTCACATGTTTTTCATTGAAAATACTCCAATCCTGATGATGAGTGACATATTTCACTCACTGACCCACCCACCTGTGGACAGTTCTCTCTTCTGGGTATCCAGTTCTTCCTCCACTTCCTTCAGTCTCAGCTGCAGTTTCCTCCTGAATGTCTCAAACTCCACCCTCTCCTTGTCCAGCTCTGTAGCCTTAGTTCTGCCAGAACAGAGTCATCCTTAAAGTGTCACGTCATGTCTAACCAATCACTTCTTTTGCAATAAGCTGTCAGTCAGGGTTGATATTTCACCCATAGTGATCATCTGTAATCGGCCTGCTTTTTACATTGCTGATCTCCAAATTCATGAAAGGGAGAGTCTGCTCTTAACTCTCCCATTGCAAGATGCAATACCTTGCTCCATTACTTTAATCAGTAAAACATTCAACAGCCTTTTAAACTCTTGAAAAGCCTATTCTACAAGTCAGATACAGCAAGTTTCTTACAGTGATATCTCATTCCCTGTGCTATAATATGAGAGTGTAATGAAGGTGTCTCACAATGTTATGTAAACACCGGCATGTGAAACCATGCCCCCACCTGCTAAATATATATAAATATTGATCAATAAGTTGAGGATGAGTGAGGACTGTTTTGAGCGAAGTATAATAATATCTAAATCAAGATTCATTAATATAACAAATGGGTATTCCATGTTATCTTTTATCAGTAGCCAATAATGCTTCCCTCACCTACGAAAACAATACATGGAGCATATTATGTCAGTGTTCCCATGACAACAAATCAGAGGACTTTCATCTTGTCCAGTAGTGAACTCACGTCTTGAAGGTGTCCACCTCCGTCTGTCTCTCCCGGAGTCGGTGCTGGTAGTGCGCCTGCAGCTCCACCATGGCCTGTGTCTCTCGCTGAGTCGCCTTCTTCATGTCGTCAAGACGGATCTTCAACTCACTCACTTCCGCAGTCTTCGTACTTAAGTGGGCTCGGAGTTCTGGGATCAAAAGAACAAAGTGGTTAGCCAATATTAGGATTGCTAAAATATTAGGCGGACCCCCCTCCCAAGTGATCTAATCTCATATGACCTGTTTATGACTTCCACACACCTATTACACATTTCGAACACTGCTCCTGCTATGGGAAACACCTGCATGACAGATGGAACATTGGACACACCTGTATGACACACCTGTATGACACACCTGTATGACATTGGACACACCTGTATGACACACCTGTATGACATGGGACACACCTGTATGATGTGGGACACACCTGTATGATGTGGGACACACCTGTATGACATGGGACACACCTGTATGATATGGGACACACCTGTATGACATGGGACACACTTATATGATATGGGACACACCTGTATGACATGGGACACACCTTTATGATGTGGGACACACCTGTATGACATGGGACACACCTGTATGACATGGGACACACCTTTATGACATGGACACACCTGTATGACATGGGACTCACCTGTGAAGTTGGCATCATAGGCTTGAAGCTCCTGGTCCCTCTCTTCCAGCAGCTTCAGGTTGTACTTGAAGTCCTCCTTCAGCTTCGTCAGTTTCGTCCTCTCGGTGGCCAGAGCCTGCTCCTTCTCTCTACAAGCCCTTTCAAGGGACTCCACTCTACAAATACATGCAAGTGTAAATAAAGCTTCAGGATACAATTCAATATCATCACACCTGGCTAGGGCCCAAGTGGACCCTTTTTTGTTGAATGAAAAACTTTGCAGACTTGTTTTGACTTTTCATTGTCTACAAGTGTAAAAAATGCTGGGTTTGCTATCATATAGATATGGAAAATGCTGTCTCAAGGTACAAGGAGTGAGTATGGTTTTACCCCGCTTTTAGCAATTTTCCAGCAATATCACGGTGGGGGACACCAGAAATGGGCTTCACACAATGTACCCATTTCCGGGAATCAAACCTGGTTCTTTGGCGTGAAGAGTGAACAGTTCAACCACTAGGCTACCTGACCGCCCCTAAGGTACAGGGAGGGAGGAGACGTGCATCATACTATTTTCACATTACAAGAAAGCATTAGTATTTCTCTTGCGCCACAGATCATTACTCAGCGTGAGAAGCAATTAAAGGTTATCCTGGAAATAGGATCATTTGATACAGATGACAAAGACAAGCCTCTTCTGAGATGCTTCCTTCCACTCCCTCTCTTTCTGCTCTGCCAACTCTCTCCACGACGCTGGGTCCTGGTCAGCCATCTTGTGCTTTTCACATGTGTTGCGTCATGTATCAACTGTCAGTTATATCACAGCAGGTCAGCTTCATGGAGGAGGAATCCTGAAGTGACGTACACAGAGATATTTACTACTTTGATCAAACCCACCAACATGGGTATGGTGCTGATAAACCAAGGAACATAGGTAGGGCAAAACAGGGAATCATCGGATCCTGAAAGGGAGACCACTCTGCAAAGAGAACTGCTCCCCCTTACACCACTGGGCCCATGTCCATGTCCAAGTATGTGAATGAGTGAGTGAATGTTACTTTACGCTGCAGTAATCAGGAATAATCAACCTATTTCATGACAGACTATAATTAAATAATTTAATAAATCCAGATACCTGTGGTGTCAGTGAGTGAGTATGTTTGGATTAAGGCTAATTTAAAAAGTAGTCCAGTTATATCACGTTAGCTTGATGAGGGAGGGAGCCTGAAGTGATGCAGGTATTAGGTGTATACAGATTTTGGTGAAATCCAGGAGCATCTGGGTATGGTGCTGACAAACTTAGAAATACATTCAGAGTGAAGTTGGTATTTGAACCCACGGACATAGATTTATGGCATGTATAAGATACTCAACTCTGCACAGCACATCATAGTACTAGGGTTAGCTTTTGGCACATTAATCATATTGCAATATATTCTGCAAAATATTGCAATACAGAGAACCTTTAATACGGGCCCACATTATATATATTGTACTGTTCAAATGGTACTTCTTCATTCAATAATCCAGGCCTCATATTACAAGATGAGTAGTATGGATAAACGAGACTACCAATTACGTCATCAATATCATGGAATATTAATCTAAACAGCTGTATATGGGCCCACATTATATATATTTGTACTGTTTAAATGGTACTTCTTCACTCAATAATCCAGGCATCAACTACAAGATGGGTAGTATGGATAAATGAGACTACCTATTACATCATCAATATGGAATGTTAATGTCAACAGCATGAAGCGTGTGCTGTTCACATGGTTTAGATAGGAACCCAGTCCAAGAATTATTGGAAAATATCAATACGCAAGGGTTGTATTGCGATGCGGTTATTGTTAATGGCGGTATTGCAATAGTCCTGTATATCAGTTATACCCTATATAGCACCTAAGATGACTGGGACAACCATAAAGTCAGTAAATACAATTTTTACGATCATTATCACAGAAAGCTCTCTGGCTCTCCACGGTACAAGTCTGTCCACATATATAGCTGGAGGACGTTGAGTAGTGGACTGGTCATCAATTATATGGGGAAGGTAGGGAATTGAACTGTCATTTTTGCATTTGTTCTTGAAGTTCTTGAAGTTGAAAGCTTCAGCCCGTTAATGTGCATTCCTCTAATAGTTTGCTGAAACTCCTGCCCATAACCCTAGCTACAATGTGTTCCTACAGTCAAGTGAGTGAGTGAGTTTGGTTTTAGGCCGCTTTTAGCAATATTCCAGCAATATCACGGCGGGGGACACCAGAAATGGGCTTCACGCATTGCACCCATGTCGGGATTCGAACCCGGGTCTTCGGCGTGACGAGCGAACGCTTTAACCACTAGGCTACCAGACTGACCCTCTTCAGTCAAGATATGGCCCTACATGGTGTGATGTAGGGTCATGTCTTGACTGTCGGACCCCATCACGGCTCTTGACTACTGTAACCATATTGAAAAAAATCACAACCTTGACTAGAAGTATTAAAATGATTTTGTTGGGATTACAAGTGTTATGTTGAGTAGTATAGACCAGGCAACATATTTTCTATGTTTTACTTGCTTTAACAGCAGATGTTACTCCAACGGTATCCACTCCGAACAGACAACATTTTAACATGTCCATGCATGTTGACTGGACTTCATGACTTTAAATCATTTTGTTCGTGGTGACATTACTCACTTACGAAAGAATGGCGTGTGCATAGTCTAAATCATGTTTCTTCTGTGGTATTGTCCATTACTAAACACATCTGTATCATTATCTCGGGAAACCTCATCATCTGCTCAATGAAACAGAAATTGACAGGTGCCCAATAAACAAATTCACCGCCTGCCTCGTTTTCATTTAGAGGAAGAACGGTTTGCGGCATACTGTAAAGTTTGACTGTATCCGCGACGTTTCATTTTGTCGCATTTGTGCGCTGTAACCTGATAGTTCTGGTTAGACCATTCCCAGTTTTGTTTGACGTCTGCTGATACAGAAAGGTAGCAAGTTGATATAACCTCGTAACTAAAAATTGCCGGAGCATTTTTTCTGTTGATACCGAGGATACCATTTTAAGAGAATATGTTATAAGAAAGGGGCTGAAAGATTTGGGCAATGATTTGTATATGTCGTGCATCTTGTTTTCGGCAAACAGGTCAGCATGTGCAAAAACTGTCAACAAAACATTTTAGAGCGGTGCCCTGACAGAAATTGCAACATGTAAAAACTTCATATATCTTTCCTGTTTCCAAATACACACGTACAGGTAGAAGTTGTTCGTAGTATTTTTAAAGACGAGCTGTGAAAATCGTAGCAATGTACTGCTTCGCTCAAAAGTAATTATTATCCAATAGGCCTATTCACCGGTCGCTAAATTTATACGTAGGAAGCCACGATTCACGCCTTCATAACGTCCTACAGTCCGATGCTGATTTTGCATCACTTTTCACCACGTTCACAAGCCATGCCGGATTGCAAATTAGATCATGCAGTTACGTCAGGGAAATATGTATACTAGGGCTGGGACGGGTAACTGGGTTCTCGGGTCGGGTGGGTCATGAGTAGGACCCGGGTACCCACAGGTCGGACCCGTGGTTAATCATGTGATATATTGCGTAATGACAAAAACTCACTATAGCTCAGTGGTTACGCTACATTCGCAGTTCTTTCTGACGATACATCCATTCCTTTTGACTTGCATATGTTTGAGTAAAGGTAACGCTTCTGTCAACTTCCGATCAGATCATTTGATACATGTATCTAAATACTATTGTTACTGCCTGGGCTGCGGTGAAACAATTCCCAATCAGACATCTTGTTCCCAACTCTTAAGACCTGCAGTGGGTATGCAGGGAGGGCGGGTAATAGTGGCCAGCCCTAATTTATACCCCCTTCTTCCCAAACCATTTTCCTTGGAATACAGCCAAACCTTACCTTTGGAAATGTATTTCTACATTAGTTTAGGCTAGAAAATGTTTACAGGTTAGTTTAGGCAAGAAAATGTTTACAGGTCTATAATGTTTGACAAAATACATTTTAAATCATTTTTTTGAGTATATTTTTATCATATGTTTTCGGACGTCATACATTTTCAGATAACCATGTTTAGGGCGATTACGCTTATCACTATAACGAGAATTGGAGCATCACACAGACATTGTAAATGCTCGGATGATGGCTTGTTTTTTAAGATAAAGTTGTCTTACATAAGCAATGAGATTTTTTACAGTTGTTCATGATGTAATTTGCGAGAAAACTATGAATGTATCTTACTAAGCATAAAAAAACCCACAACAGTGGAATACTTTGGAAAAATGTTTTGGGAACATGAGTGTATGAAATTGCCTTGATTGATATTATGTGATTTGCATTCTGATGGAGATTGTGAAGGCAGGTGCAAAATCAACACTGACTTTAGTAGAATGTAATAAGGCATGAATCAAAGCTATGTATTAGTTTGTTTGTTGTTTAAAGGGACAGTACATTGACCATTCTGTGGCATTGTTTGTAAACAATAGCTGATTACCTCTGAGCTTACTTGGCTCTGCTTGCCTTAATCTGCGAGAAAAGTTTCTGCTCATTGACCAGACCGCGGATGTAGGTTTATCACGTGACCTGAATTTCCTCTTGTTTGTAACCAAATGCACATATTCTAAAATAAAAGAAGAGTCTATCGCAAACCTTGAGGTTCACTTTACGTATTGTTTTGCATAACTATATATGTATATAACTACAACTGTGACAGTGAGGTGCATGAAAAGACAGCCTTTCACATCAAAACTATTTGGAGGGCTTCAATGACAGCATGTGGAGAATAATTACACAAATGGAAATAGTTTTTCATGGTTTAGGTTATTTTCTCAAAGAAGGTTAAACATTTCATGACATGTTTATCTAAATGTGTAGATTCATCCAAAGTGAAACAGCTGAAAAATATATGAATGGACTGTGTAAGATGTGACAAGGGGCAGAGGTACCCGGATGGCCGCAAGGAGAGTAATTGGCTTAATATGACCAAAGCATGTTTATTTTGTAATATAGACTTTGATAAACGCTGGCTTCTAATCAAATTATGAATATAAAATGTAAAGAAAATTTTTATGTACTGCATGTGCTTTTTTTAAATGTTGACTCTGCATACCAAATACAATTATATTTGCGCCCCGAGTGCCACACTCTGAATCACGAATGCTCTAAAAAGCTCCCAAAATCCTACGTACTGGATAGAAAGGGGGGTTGGCAGACCCTGATATTCAAGGGGGGCAGGGGTGGCCCAGTTGTCTAAGGTGCCGCAATTTGTTGTGAAAAGTTGCGTCTCTTGGGCATGCCAGAAACCTATGATTGTCGGTTTGAATCCTAGTTCGCCCCGATTATGTTTCTAGGTTTGTCAGCACCATACCCATGCCTGTGGGTTTCACCGAAGTGGTAAACGTCTATGACCTGCATCACTTCGGGCTTTCCTCCCACATTAAGCTGACACGCCGTGATATAACTGGAATACTGTTAAAAGCGGCGTTAAGCACAACTCACTTCACTCATTGATAATCAGGCAGTGTGTAGGATTGATATTAGGTGACCACAAAGCTTAGGCAATATTGCCGGTGTAATCCTCATTCTGACCGGATTTCCCTCTCACTTGAACCAGGCTGTGTGTTGATTCGTTGGTTATAAATGATGATTACACTTAAAATCACCTGTGTGTCTCCACGGTTGATGGAGGAAAGTTGTGTGTACAATCCTGTGACATAATGATGGATACCCTTGGTTCCTGTAGTTATGTGTGAAGTTGACATTATGATGCTTGATTGCACTATTTTGTATTGGGAAAAGATAAACAAAATTAAAATGATGATTTCCTAAAGCATGTTGTCCTGATTTTCAGATTTGGGTTTGGATTTCTTTGGAGGAACATAAAAGTAGACATTGTGAGATTGGAGACCATTGTGGGGATGGCAATATGTGAACCAAAGTAACAGGTTCACTCTCAACATTCCACCGCCATGGACAACTCTAGAGATATACCTTCACAAAGTCTGACACCAGACAGAGACAGGTTTGAAGACTGGCAACCAGTGTCCCCAGAACATAAAGAACATAAACAGTTTGTAGATCCGAGCAAGGAGACACCTGACCTTGCTAACCTTACCAATGGTGTCTGTGATGCTCATGGGGAGGCTGACGATGATGGGGAGGCTGACGGTGAGGCAGATCTGTCTTCCACAAGCCTTGAACACTTGTCTGACACAGCCCTCAATGATAGACTCACTGTACTTACTCTAGATTTCAATGATCTCACATCTCTTCCTGAGTGTATTGGGCAGGGTGCTCCAAACTTGAGGATTCTGTCTGTGAATGGTAATCAGTTGAAGACATTGCCACATAGCATTGGATCTCTCCAACGTCTAGAGGAGATTCATCTGAATGAAAATTGTCTGGAGTTTATTCCAGATTCTGTGTGTAGTTTGAAGAGGTTGAGAATATTAAGACTGACTGGAAATAGTGTTGAAAAGCTGCCTGATGACTTGGGTGAGATCAATGCCTTACAATCACTCACCATTGATGAGAACAGTTTGTCACACCTCCCAAAGACATTTGGACTTCTTGAAAATTTGCAAACATTTGAAAGTAATACAAACAAGTTGACATCCCTACCATCAGGATTTGGAAAGTTGAAAAACTTGAAAATTCTTAATCTCAGCAACAACCAAATTGAAAGACTTCCAGACAATTTTGGTGATTTGAAAAGTATTGAATTTCTAGATGTATCAGGAAACCAAATTGAACACTTGCCAAAGTATTTTAACTCTAGTCAGACACTGAGGAAGTTTTATGCAGACTGCAACTTAATTGGAGAGTTACCTGACTGGATATCCCAGCTACCGCAGGCTGTAGAAGTGTCAGTGAAAGACAATAAGCTGAGTCACCAGGCTGTCACTGAAACATTTGGTCAAACAAACCATCGATTGAAGGTGTTAGACATGAGTGGTAATTTCATGACTTCGTTACCGAACTCAATAGGAGAGTTAACAGAGTTAGAGACTTTGCATCTTGGAAGTGTTATTGATGAACTGGAACGACGAAACTTTCAGAATGGTAACTGGATATCGCAGTTGCCGGTCACATTTTGTCAGATGGTGAATCTCAAGGAACTTCATCTTGACGAGAACCAAATACAAGAACTGCCTGAAGACTTTGGAAATTTGGTTAATCTGGAGTTCCTAGATCTTGGTATGTTTGGAGTTTCCGACTTGCTGATACAATATGTGTATCAAACTAATGATGTTGTCATTTTGCTTTTATTTAATAAGATGATTGATAAGAGTGAGTGAGTGAGTGAGTTGGGTTTAACGTCGCTTTTAACAATATTCCAGTTATATCGCGGCGTGTCAGCTTAATGTGGGAGGAAAGCCCGAAGTGATGCAGGTCTCAGACGTTTACCACTTCGGTGAAACCCACGAGCACGGGTATGGTGCTGACAAACCTAGAAACATAATTGGGGCGAACCGGGATTCGAACCCACAATCATAGGTTTCTGGCGTGCCCAAGGGACGCAACTCTGCACAGCGAATCGCGGCGCCTTAGACGACTGGGCCACCTGTGCCCCCATGATTGATAAGAAGTATGTTATTGCTAACATTGTTGGAAGAGGAAACAACTGTGATTGTTTGTTATATAATGCCTATTGTCATGATTGGTTGTTGCTATGTGCCATTAGCTGATTAGTGATTTATGGTTTGGGAGTTAACAAGCATGTTTTAATAATGATCATGTACTCGTTATCCTAGAGAATAACCAATCTGAATCCCTGCATTGAATGAAGGCAAGCTTCTGTACAATCAATTAACCAAACAATACATTCCAGTGAGAGCAGTTTACATAGTCCACATCGTTAACAATAACTGTGAAGAGTTTCTGTGTTTCAACAAGAAGAAAGTTTTACTCTTCTATCAAACCAGAATTTGGCCTTGAACCCTATATCTATAAAAATAATATAAATTTGTTACCATTGACCAGCTGTTGACTAAGTTTAGAACCAACAATCACTCTCTACCTGTTGAGAGGGGACGGTAGATAGATTTACCCTATGTTGATAGGATCTGACACTTTGTGATATTACTGTCGAAGACAAGTTTCACTACTTGTTTGAGTGTACACATTTGGAAACTGATCATCAGCGCTTTCTTAAAAAGTACTATTATGTCAAGCCTAATTACCTTAAACTACAAAATCTGTTTTGTACTCCTAAAGTCTCAGTGCTAAGAAACCTCAGCAGATTTGTCTCCTGTATACATAAAACATTCTAATGTATACTCTCATACTCTGTCCTCTGTTAATCAAATGACTTTCTTGCATGTACATGATGTATGTCCATGTACCACTGTGAGTGGTTATTTATGGAAATAAAACTATGTCTATGTACCTGTGGTACTCTTGTTTTATCGGAGAAAGAAAATACAGTCATCAATCATGGTAATCAACAGGCATTGTAATAATGTTAATAATACCCATTGTAATCATGGTAATTATGGTAGTTGATCTCCACGATTCATGGTAATGCTAATCAGACTCAGCCACAGTTTGAACTGTCTCCGGTATATGAAATAAGAATAAAAAGGGTTTGGTATGTAAAAGTTACACAATTCCCGAGGTCATACACTTACAAAAATCCTGAAATTGAATAAATGCATTTATTCAAACTAATCATGTTAATACTTTAATAGTGATTCTTTAAAGCTCAATTGCTCTCCATCTTTATTTGTTCATTTCTTCCTCCCTACAAGGCCAGAACATGCTCCATGAGTTGCCCGACTCGTTTGGGAACCTGCGGTCCCTGAGGATCTGCCTCCTGTCCAAGAACCACCTCCAGCTGCTTCCATCCAACTTCGGGCAGCTCACAGCGCTGGTGGATCTCAGGATGGACAATAACATGGTATGTACCATGGACCTTGTACTGATGCTGTCATGTTATATGTTTCCATGACAACTCATGGATCGTGTACTAATGCTGTGATGTCATATGCTTCAATAACAACTCACAGACAGTGTACTAAAGCAGTGACATCATATGTTTCCATGACACCACACAGACCTTGTACTAATGCTGTGATGTCATATGTTTCCATGGCAACTCACAGACCTTGTACTAATGCTGTGATGTCATGTTTCCATGACAACTCACAGACCTTGTACTAATGCTGTGATGTCATATGTTTCCATGGCAACTCACAGACCTTGTACTAATGCTGTGATGTCATATGCTTCCATGACAACTCACAGACCTTGTACTGATGCTGTGATGTCATATGTTTCCATGGCAACTAATAGACCTTGTACTAATGCTGTGATGTCATATGCTTCCATGACAACTCACAGACCTTGTACTGATGCTGTGATGTCATATGTTTCCATGGCAACTAATAGACCTTGTACTAATGCTGTGATGTCACATGCTTCCATGACAACTGAACCTGCGTCATAAGCAAAGCGAGGAGAAGAAATAATTAACTTCGATAAAGCTTGGTCGAACTCAATCTATTATTACTGCCATAATCATTTCACCAAGTCAAATGTAGAAAAGCTAGTGAGGGACCTTCATATTTTAGATTGCTGAGTTGCCAGAATCATTTGAGAAACTTGTTCAGCTGAAGACGTTGGATCTCTTCAACAACTTGTTAGCCCATGTGCCGTCCTGTCTCCAGCACTTCAACCATCTAGTCAGACTGGACATTGATGAGGTAGGTGTCCTCCTGGTGTCATCTTGTGGATCTCTTCAACAACTAGTTAGCTCATGTACCGTCCTTTCCCCAACACGTCAACCATCTAGTCAGACTGGACATTGATGAGGTAGGTGTCCTCCTGGTGTCATATTGTGGATCTCTTCAACAACTTGTTAGCTCATGTACTGTCCTTTCCCCAACACCTGAACCATCTAGTCAGGCTGGACATTGATGAGGTAGGTGTCCTCCTGGTGTCATATTGTGGATCTCTTCAACAACTAGTTAGCTCATGTACCGTCCTGTCCCCAACACCTGAACCATCTAGTCAGACTGGACATTGATGAGGTAGGTGTCCTCCTGGTGTCATATTGTGGATCTCTTCAACAACTTGTTAGCTCATGTACTGTCCTTTCCCCAACACCTGAACCATCTAGTCAGGCTGGACATTGATGAGGTAGGTGTCCTCCTGGTGTCATATTGTGGATCTCTTCAACAACTAGTTAGCTCATGTACCGTCCTGTCCCCAACACGTCAACCATCTAGTTAGACTGGACATTGATGAGGTAGGTGTCCTCCTGGTGTCATCTTGTGGATCTCTTCAACAACTTGTTAGCCCATGTGCCGTCCTGTCTCCAGCACTTCAACCATCTAGTCAGGCTGGACATTGATGAGGTAGGTGTCCTCCTGGTGTCATCTTGTGGATCTCTTCAACAACTTGTTAGCTCATGTACTGACCTGTCTCCAACACGTCAACCATCTAGTCAGGCTGGACATTGATGAGGTAGGTGTCCTCCTGGTGTCATCTTGTGGATCTCTTCAACAACTTGTTAGCTCATGTACTGACCTGTCTCAAACACGTCAACCATCTAGTCAGGCTGGATATTGACGAGGTAAGTGCCCTCGATCCTGGTGTGACATTGTGGATCTCTTCAACAACTTGTTAGCTCATGTACTGTCCTGTCTCCAACACCATAACCATCTAGTCAGACTTGAAATTGACGAGGTAAGTGCCCTCCTGGTGTCATTCTGTGCACGGCTGAAGTGGCTAGGTCATGTCAGAAGTACACCAGTCTATTGTGAGACGATGGTAGCACATTGTTGAAGCACCTAGACCTGTACGACCCCATTGTCACATGACACTATGCCAGGGATGATGTACATGAGGTCATAACAAAGCCAACGTCATCAACTGATTAGGGGATGCTTCCTGTTATTTGTTCTTGTTGGTCGGTCTTGTGTATCCCTTTCCTGTCTTAACCTTGAGGCAATCTATCTTCAGAGTTTTAGATTAGGAGTTTGGGTGGCGAGCTTGGGTGGTGATATTTATACAAACTCTTAACTTCCTCTGGGTTTGCACAGCTTGAAAATACTACGAGTTTGTAAATCTATCTTGAAAAAGTCATGCATTTAAATTCTGCTTGAAAATGGATACTGGTAATGCCTTGAATTGTCCCAGCCAGTCCCCCTCTCAAGTAAATTATCTCAATGTATCTGTTCAAATTTTTAAAACATCCTGATGGAATCTTTTGAAAAGCTTGAAGAACATTCTGTTATGAGTCCAATATGTCTGAATCTGTAACAAAGAGAACTGAAGGCCTTACAGCATGTACAGAAAAGTACCACAGTTTTCATAGATCTGAATGATCTGTAACAATAAGGAACTAAGTAAGATTTACCCTAGACACGAATCTGCCATGTATCTTCTTGTTTTCACTATATCTCATCCTCCGTCAGAACCAAAAACCTCCGACGTTTCAGGTTGCCACAGGCTTGGTTATTGGGAAGAACCTGCCAGTTGTTAGCAAGATTGGCTTGGTTCCTTGGCCTTTTAGTTCTCAAACTTCCATCTTTTTTACAGGTATTGGGTCACCCGTTAATGTTCACACCAATCTGACAATTTTGAAAATATTTTCTTCGCTTATTCTGGCCACACTGACGAAACATTGAACATTCTGATCCCTTGTTATGCATTTAAAAAAAATGTATTTTTTAGTTATTCGATAACAGTTGTTTAAGAAACAACCATGAAGTGTTTGTCAATAATTGTAAATATTTGTGCTGTCACCAAGATTATTCATGTCTGAATTATGTCATAATTCTTATATTTTACATGTATGTGTTTGCTTTTTCCAGGGTAGATCCTGGGTATTGTTTATTGGTAAAGTTTTTTGTTTGTTTCTATGGTTACAGAACAAGCTTGGAATGCCCCGTCACGAGGTTCCGATGGTGGTGCGGCAGTCCAAGTACCCCCCACGGGATCCCTCCTTGAAGGACAACTGGAGGGGCCGACCTCGCCAGGACCTAACTGGCCTTGAATCCTCCATCATCCAGGTGAGCCTATAGAATAGTAGGGTGGACTGACACCACATTGAGGTGAGCCTATAGAATAGTAGGGTGGACTGACACCACATTGAGGTGAGCCTATAGAATAGTAGGGTGGACTGACACCACATTGAGGTGAGCCTATAGAATAGTATAGTGGACTGACACCACATTGAGGTGAGCCTATAGAATAGTAGGGTGGACTGACACCACATTGAGGTGAGCCTATAGAATAGTAGGGTAGACTGACAACACATTGAGGTGAGCCTATAGAATAGTATAGTGGACTGACACCACATTGACTTGAGCCTATAGAATAGTAGGGTGGACTGACACCACATTGAGGTGAGTCTATAGAAAAGTAGGGTGGACTGACACCACATTGAGGTGAGCCTATAGAATAGTAGGGTGGACTGACACCACATTGAGGTGAGCCTATAGAATAGTATAGTGGACTGACACCACATTGAGGTGAGCCTATAGAATAGTATAGTGGACTGACACCACATTGAGGTGAGCCTATAGAATAGTAGGGTGGACTGACACCACATTGAGGTGAGCCTATAGAATAGTAGGGTGGACTGACACCACATTGAGGTGAGCCTATAGAATAGAAGGGTGGACTGACACCACATTGAGGTGAGCCTATAGAATAGTAGGGTGGACTGGCACCACATTGAGGTGAGCCTATAGAATAGAAGAGTGGACTGGCACCACATTGAGGTGAGCCTATAGAATAGTAGGGTGGACTGGCACCACATTGAGGTGAGCCTATAGAATAGTAGGGTGGACTGACACCACATTGAGTTGAGCCTATAGAATAGTAGGGTGGACTGACACCACATTGAGGTGAGCCTATAGAATAGTATATTGGACTGACACCACTTTGAGGTGAGCCTATAGAATAGTAGGGTGGACTGACACCACATTGAGGTGAGCCTATAGAATTGTATGGTGGACTGACACCACATTGAGGTGAGCCTATAGAATAGTAGGGTGGACTGACACCACATTGAGGTGAGCCTATAGAATAGTAGGGTGGACTGACACCACATTGAGGTGAGCCTATAGAATAGTAGGGTGGACTGACACCACATTGAGGTGAGCCTATAGAATAGTATAGTGGACTGACACCACATTGAGGTGAGCCTATAGAATAGTAGGGTGGACTGACACCACATTGAGGTGAGCCTATAGAATAGTAGGGTAGACTGACAACACATTGAGGTGAGCCTATAGAATAGTATAGTGGACTGACACCACATTGACTTGAGCCTATAGAATAGTAGGGTGGACTGACACCACATTGAGGTGAGTCTATAGAAAAGTAGGGTGGACTGACACCACATTGAGGTGAGCCTATAGAATAGTAGGGTGGACTGACACCACATTGAGGTGAGCCTATAGAATAGTATAGTGGACTGACACCACATTGAGGTGAGCCTATAGAATAGTATAGTGGACTGACACCACATTGAGGTGAGCCTATAGAATAATAGGGTGGACTGACACCACATTGAGGTGAGCCTATAGAATAGTAGGGTGGACTGACACCACATTGAGGTGAGCCTATAGAATAGAAGGGTGGACTGACACCACATTGAGGTGAGCCTATAGAATAGTAGGGTGGACTGGCACCACATTGAGGTGAGCCTATAGAATAGAAGAGTGGACTGGCACCACATTGAGGTGAGCCTATAGAATAGTAGGGTGGACTGGCACCACATTGAGGTGAGCCTATAGAATAGTAGGGTGGACTGACACCACATTGAGTTGAGCCTATAGAATAGTAGGGTGGACTGACACCACATTGAGGTGAGCCTATAGAATAGTATATTGGACTGACACCACTTTGAGGTGGGTTCTATGAATGAACAACTTCTTTATTACAATTAGTGCGACGTTTCGGTGTAGATCCTAACACCTTTATCAAGCACCGAAACGTCACACTAATTGCAATAAAGAAGTTGTTCATCCATAGAACTTGTCTTTCTTCATCACACCAACTTCTATATGCCACTGAAAGAAACTACTGCTGAGCCCGATAAAATTGCAGAGTGCTTTTTTTTAGAAGACATCTGTTTAAGAGACAGACAGATATGACTTACTGCTCGGGTAGTCCAATACTGGCCAAGCAGACAATATACTTCCAGTTACATCTCTTGCGTCAGTAGTTGTGAATGTGATGGTATACTGTAGATGCTTCTGAATGGTCCTGGTATTTCAGGTTATTGATGCTGGGCCTCTTACTGGAGTGGAAGAACGGCAGGAAGAGGACTCGGAAAAGTACAGCGAGCAGCAGCTGGAACTAGCTGCACGCAGAAACATGTCCATCTGGCGATCTCACGATGGGCCCACGCAGCGGGAGAAGTTTGTCAGGGGAGAGAGTGCTTTCCGGAATTGGCTTTCACGGAATAAGACATTTGCAAATGTGGCAAGTGAGGAAGCTGAGAGTGAGGGTGCTGGGAGCAGCGAGGGGGATGAAAGTGAAGAGGAAGATGATGATGACGGCTATTGCATTAGCTACTCGAAAAATGGTAAGACTGGCCATTATGGTTTTTTTTTGGTTGGATCCACTGACCCTGTTTCCTTCAGCATTGGGAAAATTATTAATCCAAATTTACACCCTTTTTTTTGCCCATGCGTCATGCACACATATTTATTTTGAGCTTCTCATTGTTTTATGAATATCATCTTTAAAACTTTTGGTGCTCAATTTGACATTAATATTTCATCAAAACGATCCGTCGACAAGTCGAAGAGAAACTCCTTCCATTATAAATCTAGAGTTTTGTCCCTTGTCTTTGTTACAAGGACTTTGCTAAAATTAACTCCTTTGCCTTCTGAGAAAAAATTACAAAAAGGATTGTTTCCAGCAGACGATGATGCTCAAGATTGTGATTTCATTGATATTTTCCTTATACTCTCTCTCTCTTTAGAATTGAGTTATTGGAGGTCAATGATTTGAATCTGGAACATTTTGAATCTTCAGTTTTAGTATGAGTATAAAATTCTGAAGTTGGGTGTCCTCATTGATTCTGTGTCTCCTCAGACTGGGGTTCGGCCAGTTGGAACGAGGAAGACAACTGGGATCTCCCCTCACAAACATCCGCCGATACCCAGACCGAAACAGTCGGGGAAGAAGAAATTGGTGGAGAATGTGAGAACTGGGATGAGGAAATAGGGGAGCAGTTCTCCAGCAGCACAGGTCAGTATGGTGTGTGTGGGTCTCCCCTTGGGTACTCAGTGGTAGAAACTAACAGTTTTAATCCACTAGTCCTTGTAATTATAACACATAGGAAAACCCTTAAAAAGAGCAAATTTCTATTTGTCCTTATGATGCCTCAACTATTAGGCACTATTTGGACTAAAGGACTAGAGCCAATTTCTAAAGCTGAGGTACTCCAGGTCAGAATTGGTCCTTAGAAACCTGTTCTGGTTGTAAGAGGCTATTTAATGGATCAGGTGCGACATCGACATGGCATGGAATGTTGTACATAATATCCATGGCTGGTTTGTCTGGTCCAGATCCGATTATTTCCGAACTGCCTTCATATAGCTGGATTATGTCTGAGTGTGGTGTTAAACAACAAACACAATATTTGCCAGGCTGATATGTCTCTGGACTTGCTGAAGGTAATGTTGTTAAAGCGTTCGCTCGTCACCCTGAAGACCCCGGGTTCGATTCCCAACATGGGTACAATGTGTGAAGCCATTTCTGGCATCACCGGCTGTGATATTGTATGAATATTGCTAAAAGCGACGTAAAACCTCACTCACTCACACTCATGCACTCACGCTTCCAAATGTAATGTACATGTTACCATGGTTACTGAGAGTACTGTCTTATCCTCAGATCCCCCACCTGTGTCTCATCACCCAACATGGACAGAGGCTCACCAGCCCACCAAGGACCTTCAAACACTCTTCTTTGCGTTTGATCTCCACACACCGTCCATCCCTCGGAACACATCAGCTGTCACCTTCCCAGAAGAACCAGGGCAGTATGACGATGCAGATTAATGAACCGCAAACTGCTTCAGCACCATGGCTGGGGCTTCTTACAGAAGATGATGTTAGTGCTACAACTATTGTATAGTGTATGGAGAACTTAAATTGTTTTGTTGATTGAGAACATTATCTGAGCAAACCAATATCTGAGCAGGGATTTCGGATACTCTACAGGTTTCTCATTTTCATGTCTGTATGTTGAGCATAAATTCCAAAAGGTGATTCCATTGTTCTGTGGTGTGAATCAGTCGGTGATTTACTTTGCGTTGTTTGATAGGCATTCCTCAGAAGTTGACAGATGACAAAGTAGACACAATTTATGGATAACAACTTCTTTATTTTACTGTAATGGCGATGTTTAGGTTTACGGTAGATATCATGCTTGACTATGGTATAAGGATCTATACCAAAAGATTGCCATTACAGTAAAATAAAGAAGTTGTTATCCATACCTTGTGTCTACTTTGATTTACTTTGCATTCCTATCTACAGGTATACTGGTAGTTTACGTTAGGTTTTTTAGTCTGGTTATTTTATCTTTTTTGGGAGTGCGGGTTTTCACACATTGTTCTCAGTATGAAATATGTTTTTGCAATGGAGTTTGTTTATATATATGCAGGGTTGCTTCAATTTTGGTTTGGACAGATGTTTGCCGATTTGTTATTATTAAGCATACAATAGTTATTTATTTTGGATATTGATATATTTGTTCAGAGTAACATATTACTTTTGATATCTCCTGCTGGAAGGAGGAAAAGCTTTTTACATTTCAAAATATATTTTGTTACTTTTTATGAAACCATACAATGTTCAAACGTTTCATGTAAGATTTGAATATCCAACAAATTTTAGATGAGATGTTTTAGTTATGACTTTATGTTTGGAGAGATCATATACGTTCATTGGTGCAAAGGGACCATGCAGATCCGGGGTAGAACAGGTCTACAGAAACCCATGCTTGTCATAAAAGACGACTACCGGGATTGGGTGGTCAGGCTCGCTGACTTGGTTGATGCATGTCATCGTGTCTCAATTGCGTGGATCGATGCTCATGATGTCAATCACTGGATTGTTTGGTCCAGACTCGATTATTTACAGACCATGGTCATATAGCTGGAATGTTGCTGAGTGCGGCGTTAAACAACAAATAAACAAACAAACATTTCATTATTGATGTGTTTTTTTTAAGGATAAATGCTCATCGATGTGGTGAACAGGTCCTTGTGTGTTACACAACATTCACTCTGAGTTTAGACTTATTGTGAATATTGGTGTGGGTGTTTCTTGTCCATGATAGGGTCATGGGACTAGACTAGAGACAATTTGCAGCCATAGCAAGATTGAATGAAGTCATTAAAACACCACTTTGTCTTACAACACAATTTTATGAGGTCAGTCTTCCTAGCAGCACATGAACCTCTCCTTGCCCAGAGACAATGTGCTAAGTTCTCACCAGGCACTTATTATAGCGTCTAGTCCTAGACTGATTATCCACTTCATCGTGTCTCCCTTTAGATTCTGTATTTCAAGACAGATTACAGGTACCTGTTAGAATGGTCAGATGACTTCCACATGTAGCAGCTAAAGGACTCAATCCAATGTGGATGTTAACCATCGTCATTGTCACTGTTTGCTATAATTGTGGGGGGAAGAAGCAAAAGTCATCCTTGTGTTTTTCTATGTAAAAATTACATTTGACTCCACTGATTGTCAACAAACAGGTTTATTTTATTTTGAAGTGTAATATTTAGTGTCAGTTAAAGTGCTAAAGATAGCTGCATTCTGATATTGTTCGTGCTGAGTGACACTTGATGTAGTGGTGGAAGATTGCTTGTGAGATGATTCTCTCAATTCGAAAGAGAGTGTTTTTATCAGGAGATCAGGAAACAGACTTCATCATATAAAAGTATGTATTTGTCTGCTAGTTTTTACAAGCAAGGATGAGTTGCTTTAAGTTGGTTGGTTCAGTCAGTAAATAACTGGTAGGTCTTAAGATTCGAAACATAGATATGATAACTTTGTCTCTTCGTGTCTTTGAATGGCCTTTAGAGAGTGATACACATAAGAGAGAGAATTTGTGAATGTCAACTTGTTAATGAGGAACACAACGTTTCTTAGTATATGCTTACTCCTTCATCAGGTGATGAATGCTAGGATGCCAAGAGCATATATATGTACATGTAAACACAATAAAAGACTTGGAAACTTATCAAGGGAAGCTAACCGTTATTTAGCGCTGATGGGTGGTAGCAATGGACAAATGGAAGCAGGGTGTTAAGTTATTACTGATTGGCAACAAGCAATGGACAGATGGAAGGCAGGGGTTAATTAGCACTGATTGGTAGTTAACAATGGACAAATGGAAACCAGTTGGATAATTACTTCGCGTTGATAGGCTTTGATTTGTCTCCTCGTGTCCAGATCTCTCACCATTTCCTCATGTTGATGAAAGAACTAGCGGACCCTTGTGCTCACACCAGGGCTGTTGGGTCATTCTCGCAGCCATGTGTCACAGCAGATGGCTGTGTAAAATGTCCATGTTATTCCTTCCTGTTGAGTCTGCTGGAGCAGTAACAAATAAATATGTGTTGATCAATAAATTTGTCTAGAACTGTTTTACAGCAGTAAATGAACCAAGTTAGAAATAATGCTTATAATTTGTAAATTATTTAAGTAACATTATTTCATTCCTAATGTTCTTTTAGTAATTTGTTGATATAAAAATTAGGAGTTGAAATACATTCAATTATTTCTACAAATCAATTTTTATGTCCCTTCAATTGTAAATTTGTGATTTATTTTAAGACTTTGTTTTATCAGAGACCGTATAATAGATAAGGTCTCTGGTTTTATTTATGTCCAACAAGGAATTTGTTTTGTTTGATTATTTGTGTTTACGATACTCATCCCACCATGCAAAGGTGAAGGACTAAGAAGTCTGTAGTGGGATTTAGTGATTCTGGAGATGGTCATGTTCATTAAAAGTTTTGGCGAGTCAATTATGTTTCAGAAAACCGTGTGATTTTCTTGTTAGCAAATTACTTTGGCAATTTCTAGTCACACAAAGCATTACTCTCAGCATATCGAGAGTTTAATATTGTTTTAGCACACACAAATCTTGTGTTGTGCCATGCAAGAGTGGATGTTTGTTTTGCTGTCACCACTGGCTTGGCCGTCTCTTTTACTGCCTGGCTGCCAGGATACATCTGGAATATCCATGCTACATAAAACAAAAAATCACTCAGCCAAGCCATTATATATATGGATGGAAATGAGTATGTGAACAATGAAAAATGTAGGAAAATAAGCTTTACTGTCGGTACATTTGAAATAGCGTGCATACAAATTCAACACATCAGAATCAAATGTTGAGATGTGTTTGTGTGCATTGTTTCCAGCACATATTTGATAGACAAGGCTATGAATCCATGATGACATATCTTTTTTCTGTGTCTAAAGCCAAGTGTTCCCTTTTTAATCTCCATCAGTATATATGCTCAGTCCCTTGACTTATGTTACAGAGATACTTATCTGTTCCATGTTTTTCAAAATTTAGTTTGTAACTACTGTTTTGATGGGTGCTCTATACATGTGAATAAATATACATATATATGATAGAATGATGTATAGAAGTCTTGTGGGTGGGGTGATTGAGAAGTGCTGAGCCTCATATAGAAAGACTATCTAAAAACATTTAAATGATTTATTATTTCAACGTAATCCCCTTCTACACTGAAACACTTTTGACTACGATATGGGATGGATTTTATCCCAGTTTCGTAAAAGTCCTCTTGGGCTACCGAAAGTTCCCCACAGTTGTTATGACCTCAAGGGGCGGTTGGGTAGCCTAGTGGTTTAAGCGTTCGCTTGTCACGCCGAAGACCCGGGTTCGAATACCGACATGAGTACAATGTGTGAAGCCCATTTCTGGTGTCCCCCGCCGTGATATTGCTGGAATATTGCTAAAAGTGGTGTAAAACCAAACTCACTCACTCACTGTTATGACCTCAGACAGGGGTAGTCTTCAAGGTCCTCCCTGTCTTAAACTCTCCTGCCCATCTCTTATTAATTAAGCATAGGAAGAGCCATCCTTCCCTGGTGCTGTACTCATATCTTCACGAATGGCTTATGGCGGAAAGCCCCATATCTGCATGTAGTTGATCACTTCACTTTGTCAGTGTTTCCAAGATCACAGACCTCTGCTTATTGTGGACATAACATGACATAACATAACACTTTTACACAATTCCTTCTGTGTGTGGCTCCAAACTTATCAATCGGCCCTTGTGTACATACATGTATCTAGTCGAAGAGACTATCACAATGTGCGAAGCTACTGATGAATATTGTCATTTGTACAAGATTTTATTTGCTTCATTAAAATGGAATAAATTTTAAATTTTTGACTTTATTTTAGCCTTGTAGTTCAGTCTATCATGCAATATGTTTTTGATTGAATCATTGAAGTCTTGTACCATTTATGCCACAGTGACCCACTGTTTATCTTCAGATCAGAATTCTATGAACATGTATAAATACAACATTGTGATACCCGTGAATATCCGGGGTAGAATAGGTCTTCAGCAACCCATGCTTGCAGTAAAAGGTGACTAAGCTTGTCGTAAGAGGTGACAAACGGGATGGGGTGGTCAGGCTCCGCAGACTTGGTTGATGTATGTCATTGTATCTCAATTGTGTGGATCGATGTTATGTCAATCACTGGTTTGTCTGGTCCAGACTCAATTATTTACAGACCGCCGTCATATAGCTGGAATATTGCTAAGTGGGCGTTATATAAAACAACATACCAAAAATGTTACACTACAATACACATCCGAGTTGTAAGGTCGCCAACTAGAAAACTAGAAACAAAGGAAACAAATATTAGCTCCACCAAAACATATTCAGCAGATGTTATCATACCGTGAACCTGTAATTACTACTTGTCTCAGGGCACCCTGCCACCCTTTGCAGTGCAGAATCGCCTCCCTTAAGTATGCAAGGAACCTGTGATTGTGGGTTTGAATCCTGGTCCACCTTGATTATGTTTCTAGGTTGTAAGCACCATACCCATCCTCATGGGTTTCACCAAAGTGGTAAATGTCTGAGAACTACATGAATCAAGGATTTCTTGCTGACATATAACTTGAATACTGTTCAAAGCTCCAATAAACCCAACTCACTCATGTCGGGATCCGGGGTAGAATAGGTCTTCAGCAACCCATGCTTGCCATAAAATGCGACTAACGGGATCAGGTGGTCAGGCTCGCTGACTTGGTTGATGCATGTCATCGATCCAAAGTGTGTGGATCGATGCTCATGATATTAATCACTGGATTGTCTGGTCCAGACTCAATTATTTACAGACCGCCGTCATATAGCTGGAATAATTCTGAGTCCCGACGTTAAAAAACAAACCAACCAACCAACTCATGTTGGTGCTGTTCTGCCCCATCATAAGTGCACAGTCAACACAAACAAACAATTCTCACAACCTTTATTTCATCCTTCCTGCAGCTGTATACAAAATATTGAACATGACAATTTCAGCTTACCATGACATGAACATCGATGTATACATGGCTATAGTGGTTGTGTAGCACCTCGGCTTAGTACAGGACACCACACTTACAAAATGAAACATATGCATACCTTCTGGTTACTCAATACAAGTTGCCTCAAAAGTGCCGTCTGGAAAGAATCTTGCAATTTACCAACTTTCCATGTATGCATATGGTGCATAATGATGAATGTAGGTGCCTCTCCTCTGGTACCAAAATACAAACTCATGCACATTTCAATAACGTAAAACTAAACATTTAGTTTCTATGTATACAATTTTCTTTAAAAATGAGCAAATTAATGTAATATTTCGTACTTATTGGAATGAATGATTTAACAACACAGACTGTATTTAACAATTATCAAAAACTCTTTAATTCAGGATAAAACTTTGAGCAACATGAGTCTTAGAATGGAAGTCGTGTGTATTATACTTTGGCCGATTTCTCATTTGGTATGTTACTGTAAGGTGTATTTGTTAGATTGTGTACACAAGGTCTTACATATATTTTTGCTTGGTGTACAGATTACAGATCCAAATACCTTCAAACTTGAAAATTCAGAAAAGAAAAAGGGTTTTGTTTATACTGCCGATAGAAAAGATTAATTTAACAAAAAGATTAATCCATGGGATAATTAACGGACCATTATTAAAAACAGAAATTTGTTCGAAGATATGTAGTAATTTTCTATTTGTAATCACCTTAGCAATCCAATTCAAACAAATTCAAAGAAAAAGAAAACCTTTCATCATACAAAGGGCACCAAGTTGTCTGCAACAAAGTATAAGGATTGACAAATAACAAACCTTGGACAGTAACATTTTAGGGTCAATAGATAGCAAAACAGCTCTCTTGGAATGACTTTCAAAAATCAAACTGTAGTGTATGGAATCTTGTTTGGAAATTCGTAAAAATTGGAGACACAAATATTACAATGTCCTCCAACAAGAAAATAACAAAATGTTAAAAGAAATCTCACATTTTCCCTTATCTTCGAATTGGATGATAAATCCATCTTAGCTTCTTTGTGACACTTCACACTGATGTAAACATTCTGCAATGACATATGGAGATGGTAGACAAGACGTGTACAGGTTTAAAAATGATTTCATCACCTAGGTCACTAAGTGCTTAAGATTTTATTTCTCAAGAAAAAATAATCACTTTGGTGATTCTTACTCAAAAACAACACATTCTTTGTCTGGGAACTTCTACATATCAACAGTCAAGTCATAACTTTGATTAAATGCTCTCCAACCAGCACAAGGTGATTATAAGTTTGATTGGCTGATAAAACAGTGTAATATTGTTCAATGACCATTGATTGGCTGATAAAAAAATGCAATATTGTTCAATGACCATTGATTAGCTGATTACAGAGAGCAAGATTCCTCAATGAACATTGCTTGGCTGATAAAACAGTGTAATATTGTTCAATGACCATTGATTTGCTGATAAAACAGTGCAAGATGCAAGATGACCACTTTCACATGTAAATGGTGTCAATGCTTGAGCATTTCACTCCCCCTTTTATGGAGCAGCCATCTTGGAATTATGATTCTGGCACGTCTTGTAATGGAGAAGAAACATCTTCCAAAATCTCCCCAACTTCTCGAGTCTCAGTAGTTCATGTTTTATCTTGTTTTGAAGACTGAGGTAAAACAACTCACTCCGTTCTCGTCTTTGATGCAGGGGGATGTCTTTGTTTCGGCGAGCAAGAGGAAATGTGCTGCTTCCCATTTTATATCAACAAATCCTTATTTTTCAGCTGATGTGATGGTGCCAGGGAGCCAATACCTTCCTTAGTCTTATTATACACATCCTTTTGTCATAACTATCAAAGATCTTACAGAACTGATCCAAAGTTCCATGTAAACTTGTGCCAACCACAGCAAGAGTGTTTGCTACAGTTTCTTGAAGATCATTAGCTCACATTTGTTATCAACAGCAATTCCTGATATGAGGCCTCCTAGGCTTATTTCAGAGACAGACCCTCCTCTGATGACAGTCTTAATAAAATAGCTGTTATGAGTTCACAGACAAAAGCCACACGACATCTGTCCACACATTCTCACACGTTATCACAATCAGCTCATGGAAACTTGGGCCCTGTTGTCATGGTGACAGATCCAGCTCGGAAGCATTGATTAAATTTTCCGTCTCCCAAACATATGTTTCATTAAGAAATTCATCAAAAGATTTGTTCGTGACAATACTTTTCACTGCTCCCCATGTGAATCTAAAACTGCAACAGAGTAGGACATAGGCATTAGTTCATTTGTATTATAATAAAAAACCTCAGTTTATTACTTGTGCTTAAAATAACTATAGGACATCAAGCTTTATTGAGGCTCTCACTGTGATGAGAAATTCCAGGTCAGACTAAGTCTCTGTATCTCATGCTGATCAAAATCATATTTTTTTTATAGTCAGGCATGTCATCGCCTTGCCAAGGGTATTAATTGTTTTTCATGCTTTCAGTAAATGTCCTGCCTGGTTAGGTCACGATAATTTAGATCCCACTGTGATTCAGATGGCATATTGCTGACTGCGGAATTAAACAACATTCATTCACCCACTCATATTCTGAGTAGTTTCAGTTTGTCCTTGGCCATGTTTCAAAAAGGCATCTGAGCATCACGACTGCCAAGGTATAGTATGTCTTAGTATGGGATTTTGACACTCATATAAGTTAAGATTTAATGGAAATAAGCCCATAACGTCATCTTAACACAGAACTCATGTTGAGTATTATGAAAATATAATCCTCTCCAAATTAGCCACTTAAATAGTGCTTTAAGTCTGGGAAAAGTATCAAATATAGTATCAGATGTCATTAATGAAAATCCTCCTGAAATGGTGTCAATACATTCAAGGATTATTAGAGTAAACTTGTGGTCTTACCTCCTCATAAAAAGATTATATTTTTTCATCAGAAACTGCTTTATTCTGTCTATGGATGACCTCTTTTTCCTTGATTCCTCTGCTTTCTTGGCTGCGAGGGCCTCCTTGTACTGGTCCAGCATGGGGTCTTGTTGGAACCTGGTCAGTGTCATGTTGGCCTGGCTGTCTGCAAGCACAACAGAGTCATACAGGCCCTGGGGACATGGGGAGGTTGCAAGCACAACAGAGTCATACAGGCCCTGGGGATATGGGGAGGTTGCAAGCACAACAGAGTCATACAGGCCCTGGGGATATGGGGAGGTTGCAAGCACAACAGAGTCATACAGGCCCTGGGGACATGGGGAGGTAGTAAGCACAACAGAGTCATACAGGCCCTGGGGATATGGGGAGGTTGCAAGCACAACAGTCAGGCCCTGGGGACATGGGGAGGTTGCAAGCACAACAGAGTCATACAGGCCCTGGGGATATGGGGAGGTAGTAAGCACAACAGAGTCATACAGGCCCTGGGGATATGGAGAGGTTGCAAGCACAACAGTCATACAGGCCCTGGGGATATGGGGAGGTAGCAAGCACAACAGAGTCATACAGGCCCTGGGGACATGGGGAGGTAGTAAGCACAACAGAGTCATACAGGCCCTTGGGACATGGGGAGGTAGTAAGCACAACAGAGTCATACAGGCCCTGGGGATATGGGGAGGTTGCAAGCACAACAGAGTCATACAGGCCCTTGGGACATGGGGAGGTAGTAAGCACAACAGAGTCATACAGGCCCTGGGGATATGGGGAGGTTGCAAGCACAACAGAGTCATACAGGCCAAGGGGACATGGGGAGGTAGCAAGCACAACAGTCATACAGGCCCTGGGGATATGGGGAGGTAGCAAGCACAACAGAGTCATAAAGACCAAGGGGACATGGGGAGGTTGCAAGCACAACAGTCATACAGGCCCTGGGGACATGGGGAGGTAGTAAGCACAACAGAGTCATACAGGCCCTGGGGACATGGGGAGGTTGCAAGCACAACAGAGTCATACAGGCCCTCGGGACATGGGGAGGTTGCAAGCACAACAGAGTCATAAAGACCAAGGGGACATGGGGGAGGTTGCAAGCACAACAGAGTCATACAGGCCCTGGGGACATGGGGAGGTTGCAAGCACAACAGAGTCATAAAGACCAAGGGGACATGGGGAGGTTGCAAGCACAACAGAGTCATACAGGCCCTGGGGCTATGGGGAGGTTGCAAGCACAACAGAGTCATACAGGCCCTGGGGACATGGGGAGGTAGCAAGCACAACAGTCATACAGGCCCTGGGGACATGGGGAGGTTGCAAGCACAACAGTCATACAGGCCCTTGGGACATGGGGAGGTTGCAAGCACAACAGAGTCATAAAGACCAAGGGGACATGGGGAGGTTGCAAGCACAACAGAGTCATACAGGCCCTGGGGATATGGGGAGGTTGCAAGCACAACAGTCATACAGGCCCTGGGGACATGGGGAGGTAGCAAGCACAACAGTCATACATGCCCTGGGATATGGGGAGGTTGCAAGCACAACAGTCATACAGGCCCTGGGGATATGGGGAGGTTGCAAGCACAACAGTCATACAGGCCCTGGGGATATGGGGAGGTTGCAAGCACAACAGTCATACAGGCCCTGGGGATATGGGGAGGTTGCAAGCACAACAGTCATACAGGCCCTGGGGACATGGGGCGGTAGCAAGCACAACAGTCATACAGGCCCTGGGGACATGGGGAGGTTGCTGCTGCAGTATTAATCACAGATGAATTCAGGGAAGTATCAATAATCAGATCACAGATGAACTCAAGTTTGACACTGACTGACTTCTTGATTAGGCCAATGACAATTACGCAATTATAATTCAGGAAGGTGGCACACTTCCTGTGGAATTTCCTGACCATGATGTTAGGACCTGAAAACATTTCAGTCACACTGCTTGTGATGGAGTGGGCCACCTACCCGAGTCATTGTGCTCCGTGCTGGTGATGGCCTTCTCATACTTGGTGAGGTTCTCCAGGAACTCCACCTCTGTGGTGTTGACGTAGATGTACATGTAGCAGGAGGATGTTGTGGAGACCGTGTACACATTGTGGAACTCCCCAGGAGGAACCTGCAGCATCACATAGTTGACTGATATTCACCCATCTCTTACTTTTGTTTGTTGTTCAACGCCGCACTCAGCAATATTCCAGCTATATGACGGTGGTCTGTAAAATAATCGAGACTGGACCAGACAATCCAGTGATTGACATCATGAGCATCGATCCACGCAATTGGGATCGATGACATGTATCAACCAAGTCAGCGAGCCTGACCACCCGATCCCGTTAGTCGCCTTTTATGACAAGTATAGTCACCTTTTACGGCAAGTATTGGTTGCTGAAGACCTATTCTACTCCGGAATCTTCACGGGTCCATCTCTTACTACACCAATCCAACCTGTCAATCAAAACTGGTGCATGTGTCTTTCAATGCTAGCTAATTGACAGGACATGCATGTACTACAGTCCATCTATTCAGATAATTGTGTTATCACCAGGTTCCTTTTTCAGAAAGATGATTGTGATGGTTTAGCCATAACCATGGCAACTACAGGTGCTGGCTATATCTTAAATCCTCTCAGTTTCGGCCACTGATGAGCTACGAGCGTACAACTGTCACAGACTTCAATACTGGCAGCTCATATTCTGGAAGTGCAACTAGGCATTTGTAAATACAATTCTAAATGAGCCCTTTGTAGACGTTTTGTAAAGAAATAAGATTTGTTAAAAACTGTTGTTGGACTTTATATTTTAAATTCAGAGGTATTTTAACACTGCATACAAATGTTCAAATATTTTTAACATGCAGTGGGAAATTTGACTGCATTTGCTGCAGATTTGGGCTGCATATCAGTCTCTGAGCGGGTCCAGATACATGATGTGAACAAGCCCAATCACACATGTGCACAGGATCCAAGGTTCCAGACACCCAAATATAAACATCACAATTTATGTTATGATTCATTGATCATAAAAAAAACCTGTTAATGAACAATGTAGCAGAGGCGGAAAAAGTTACTGCTTTGTTTTTATTTATAGTTATTTAGTTTCTATTTATCAAAAAAGAGAGACAACTCTCTGCTGATTATTGGCTCAATTGTGCACCGGAATAATTTAGGTAATATTTTAACTGTTGACAATCTATTTATAGATATCTAATGATTTAGTAAATTATTGACTTGTCTGACATGAGAATCTGATGTTGCTACGGTTACAAAAAGTTTATCAAGGGTGAGTCTGCATGATGGAGCCCTGCCTGACACGAGTATCTGATGTTGCTATGGTAACACAAAGTGTATGAAGGGTGAGTCCGCATGATGGAGCCCTGCTTCCTGCCTGACATGAGTATCTGATTTTGCTATGGTAACACAAAGTTTATCAAGGGTGAGTCTGCATGACGGAGCCCTGCCTGACATGAGTATCTGATGTTGCTATGGTAACACAAAGTTTCTTAAGGGTGAGTCTGCATGATGGAGCCCTGCCTCCTGTACTCGCCTGCATGGTCTCCCCCTCCAGGAGTGTATGGTTGACTCGGTCTTCCACCAACTCCACTACAACCCTGCCCTTCAGCACCGTGATGGACGTGTTCCCCAGATCCTCCTGCACATAGTTCTCCAGGAACAGACCTGAACACACACACACACACACATATCAGTTAAACACTGTCAGAATCTGGGGTCATCATGCAAGATTCGTCCTGATAATGCTTCTAGGTTGAAAACACACACACACACACACACACAACATTTACAACACTGTCACAATCTGAGACCATTGTCCACAATTTGTCCTGATGATGCTTCTAGGTTTTTCAGCACCAGACCCATGCTCATGGGTTTCACCAAAGTGGTAAATGTCTCAGACCTGCTTCACTTCAGGCTTTCCTCACATTCTGTGATATATTCCTGAGTCGTAAGTCACAGTGGAATAAAACTCGCTCACTCACTCACTCTAACAGAATTCTTAAATGGACCTGTAACTATCAACTGGCATCGAGTCACAAAGTGTATGCATTCAATCCAAACAACTGATAAGAAGGATGTCTTAATTGAACACGACAGTTTTCAAAGTCCATTTTCATACAGATTAAATGTGGTTACATTGAAAAACATCATATATTCTGTATTTTTATGATTTCATCTTCATAAAGGTGTCCACAAAGCCCATTACATCATCTCCACAATTGCCCCTGTGTACCTGGGAAGTCTGCGACAAACACAACATCGGTGTGGTTGGTGGAGTTGTGTAGCGATGACTGTATCTCTGCCAGCTTCCCCCGCCAGTCAGACAGGTCAATCAACAGCGGCATCGTCCACGCCGTGGACTTGAAGGGATTCCAGTGGGCTGCCAGTATGTCCTCCCGGGGATCAAACATTCTGACAGGAAACAGCATCACTTGATATTACTGACAGACTAAAATGCCGTTATTAATGTAATTAATGCTCCAGATGACATAGGTCAAGTGGACAAAGGGATACCCCTCTATGATAAGGGTGTATCTGGACATTGTACATGACTATACTATACTATACTATACTATACTATACTATACTATACTATACTATACTATACTATACTATACTATACTATACTATACTATACTATATATGGTTCTTTACAATTCTGTCCACTGCACTCAAGAGACATTGCCTGCCTCCTTGGTCTAGTGGGTCGAGTGTTTGCCCGGAGGTCGGTGGTTCGATCTTTGACCGCATTGTACCAAAAGATGGTAAAAGACGGTTCATGTTAAGCTGCCAGGTGCTCAGCATTGAGGGATAAAACAAGGACTAGTCAGCTCAGTGTCTGTATATTGTTTCTGAGTCGGATATCCATGTCAACTATGTCATGGTATCTCAGTGGGCGAGCAGTACAAACTAGCATGTGTCCAGACGAGTGCATACACATCACCACATAAGTGGAATAATCTTGAACGCGACGTTAAACCCCATTTCGCCTCACAAACATATCTGAAAAAGAAAATAAAGGTGAAAGAAATGTTTCTCACCTCTGCTGAAATCTGTCATTGATGGACTTCCAGATGTCGAAGTGCAGGGCGACGTTGGTGATGTTGTAGCGCTGCAGGTGACTGGCGATACACTGGGAGTACTGCTTCAACATGTCTGCATGAGAACTCCAGCGTCGAGACCCAGAAAATGCCTGAACATAGTAACAAGCGACTTTTCCACAGTTCATCAACCAAGTACTTCTTAAATGGATTACAAGATACAATGATATACAATCACTGTCATATATATGCTGTAGCCTGACATAACCACCATCGTATTCTGTAGACCTGTAGACTCACATTAGGGTTGAGGTAGACCCACATTAGGGTTGCAGTAGCCCTACTCCCCACCATACACTTCTGTAGACTCACATTCGGGTTGAGGTAGCCCTACTCCCCACCATACACTTCTGTAGACTCACATTCGGGTTGAGGTAGCCCTACTCCCCACCATACACTTCTGTAGACTCACATTCGGGTTGAGGTAGCCCTACTCCCCACCATACACTTCTGTAGACTCACATTAGGGTTGAGGTAGACCTACTCCCCACCATACACTTCTGTAGACTCACATTAGGGTTGAGGTAGACCTACTCCCCACCATACACTTCTGTAGACTCACATTAGGGTTGAGGTAGCCCTGTTCCCCAGTGTCTTTGTTGATGTAGGTGATGCGGACGTGCTGCACGGACCACGAGTGGATCATCATGTCCCAGGAGTAGCCATACAGGCCATTCGTCCAGTTGTTGTAGCCCTGTGACAAACATCCATCTTGTGAACAAGTAATACAATACCATACAAAAGTATCTACTTAAGGGAAAATAACCTGTTGCGAGGAGTCATCTGGTGTCAATATGTCCTGTTACACAGGGTGGAATAAAGGAAATAATAAGTTTACAATATGTTTCTTTGTGAATCTATAAACCAATCTAAAGAACTGTTTTTGTAAGACTGATTGCTTGGTGAGAAGGTAGTGGACCATCTACCTTGGTGAGGCTGAGTAGAGGACCACCTACCTTGGTGAGACTGTAGTGGGCCACCTACCTTGGTGAGGCTGTAGTGGACCACCTACCTTGGTGAGACTGTAGTGGACCACCTACCTTGGTGAGATGTAGTGGACCACCTACCTTGGTGAGACTGTAGTGGACCACCTACCTTGGTGAGACTGTGGGAGTACGGTAGGAAGAACTGGCTGAAGACGATGCAGACAGTGAAGATGGAGGAGATCTTGTGGTACACGGACGGTCTGGTTGGCGAGGCAGCTCCAAGCACAAACACACTCGAGGGCGACTTCCTTGAACCCACACCAGACTCCTGTACAGCAATGTAAGTGAAGACTACCAATGTGAAGGCATAATTCAAACTGCATTACACAATATTAGATCCAAGTGAATATATGGAGTTGAAGTCTGCAATACTATTGGACGAGGCAAACCAGTGGTCAACAGTGTGAGCACAGACCCAAATTTGTATATTTTGTTGTTTACTGCTGCACCAGCCATATTGCAGCTATGACAGCAGGCTGTAAATAATTCAGTGATTGATATTCAGAGAATTGATCCAAAACATTGGGGTATGTTGACAATCAGTCGAGTTTGAGAATCCGATCACGTTAGTCGCCTCTTAGGACCTGCAAAGAGGGGCCATGGACCCTAGTCAGCATAGTACAACTGCTCAGCATCAGTCAGGTTTTCAGTGACTATTCCTATCTGCCATGTTTGATGCTGCTAATAAAGCCTCACACGACAGCATCACTATTTGAAAAATAGGGCGCTTGCATTTGTATGGTTTAATGTGATTGAAGAGAGAGCGCAAGTGCCATAAACCCCCTGTTATCTTAGTGAGGCAACAACCGTTACTAAGGAATGAGCTTGTTCACCAAAATGGCCGAAGGTGTTCGGTATAATGCATTCTTCCCAACATTCCTACTCAACAGCCATTGTGTCCAACCAATCACCACTCGACTCAATTGTGAGTGAGTGAGTTGGGTTTAATGCCGCTTTTAACAGTATTCCAGTTATATCACGGCGTGTCAGATTAATGTGGGAGGAAAGCCCAAAGTGATGTAGGTCTCAGACGTTTACCACTTCGGTGAAACCCACGAGTATGGTGCTGACAAACCTAGAAACATAATCGGGGCGAACCGGGATTCGAACCCACAATCATAGGTTTCTGGCATGCCCAAGGGACGCAACTCTGCACAGCGAATAGCGGCGCCTTAGACGACTGGGCCACCTGTGCCCACCGACTCAATTGTGAACTGGAACCTATTCCATACCGGATGTAGATTGTTTTATACTGAATCTGTGACAGATACCCACTGTGCATGCGTATAATAAATGTATGATTCGTAGCCATGTGGCTGAACTTGCATAAAACAGAAGCTGCCCCTCCAGCGCCATTTCCTCAAAGTTTCTAAAGTCATAAAACACAACCATGTACTTCAAGCCCCAAAACATTACTTCCAGACTTGATCAATATGACTTCTTAAGATCTAACCATGACCAATTCTCAGGAATACACTAGTAAAAAGGCAACAGTAACTGATACGACAATGTTTGACAACAACCTCAGAACTGACCTTCACCTTTGATTGACTTAGCACCATCATTAGATGGACACATGCAAAGTTATACAGCTTTATAGGTAACCATGCTGACGAAACTGACATTGACATAACCATATTTTACAATTTGAACACAGACCTTGACCTTTGACTTAGTTTGACTAAACACCTTGTCAAAGCAGGGCCCCATGCTAAAGAAAGAATGTACCATGAAGACTTTTTGTAAAAGTGTAACCACAAACCCTCTGTGAGTTTCTTCTCGTATGACCTTTACCTTTGACCTTTTCAGTACATGTGCCCAAAAATAATTCGCTAGGGCCATTCGGATGAAATCCATTAATGTAAATAACCTTTGGGAGGTAGTCATTTATATAGTCACTGGCAGTGTGATCAAAACCTGAAAGCAGTCATGTTCCACGGGCTGCTCAATGTTGACAATGTCACATAAATATTAGCTCCTTGCTTACTATACTGGAACCATAGAGGGGTTTAAGTCATAAAAGATTCTCCATATATGGACAGTGATACTATATGTGGATCACACTCACCCTCTCTGGTTTGACATCTTCCTTGTTGTAGAGACAGTGGCTGCTGGTTTGAATGTCTTCGTCATCAGGGGAGACTACTCTCAGTGATGGAGGCACCTTCCTGAACATCCGTCTCGGCCAGTCAGCGTAACAGAAAACTTGCTGTGTGGCAAGCATCATCCATGAGAACATACCTTAACACAACAGGAAAGGGGGTTATTGTCCATAATAACATAATAGACTTGATGGGTGGAGGTCTCTATCATCGGGGTGGGTGATGCGAAACAACTTTCAAGCAAAACGTAGCCAATCATGAGAAGTGAGTGAGTGGGTTGGATTCTATGCAGCTTTTAGCAATATTCCAGCAATATCACATCGGGAGATACCAGATATAGGCTTCACACATTGTACCCAAGTGGGGAATCAAACCCGAGGCTTTGGTGTGATGGGCGAATGCTTCAACAACTATCCTACCCTACGGCCCCTCGTAGCAACTGAGATAGGATAGAAGAAAAACTAAAGGATCAAATTTCAAACACTTGGTGACCTTGATGTGGATGCTATAGACATGCCATGGATACTGATCAAATTTGATGCTCGACAAGAATGATATTTTCCAGTAATAGTACATATTCATACAGTATTTTACAGCAACAAACAGTTTGCTTAGGGAGCTCTCGAGTCCACCATTACTGTTTTACTGTTATTTTTTACTGAATATTCAGAAAATCTTTGAAATTTCAGATATTACTTTGTGTAATCCTAAAATATGAACAAGATGAAAAAGGAATATCTGAAAATGAACAGTAAATCTTACCAATATGGAACATCTGGGAGTTCATGAGATGGAAGCCGGAACAGAAGAACATTCCTAGGGCTCGTGTCTTGTCGAAGAACAGAAGGAAGCCGACGAACATGTCAAGGGTCAGCCCTCCCAGGTGCACAATAAAAATGTCTATCTGGTCTTCTGTCAGCAGGAACCTGAAACATCAAGAAAAGACCAACTCAAGCAGGAGCTTAGCTTCAGAGTCTGGTGGTCACGCCTCTGTCAGGGGAATCCGAAATATCTAGAACAGGAACCCAAAGAGGAGCTTGGCCCCATAGTCTGGTGGTCACGCCTCTGTCAGGGGAATCTTAAACATCAAGAAAAGACCAACTCAAACAGGTGCTTAGCTTCAGAGTCTGGTGATCACTCCTGTGTCAGGGGAATCTGAAATATCTAGAACAGGAACCCAAAGAGGTGCTTGGCCCCATAGTCTGGTGGTCACACCTCTGTCGGGGGAATCTGAAATATCTAGAACAGGAACCCAAACAGGTGCTTGGCCCCATAGTCTGGTGGTCACGCCTCTGTCAGGAGGAACCTGAAATATCTAGAACAGGAACCCAAAGAGGAGCTTGGCCCCATAGTCTGGTGGTCACGCCTCTGTCGGGGGGAATCTGAAATATCTAGAACGGGAACCCAAAGAGGTGCTTGGCCCCATAGTCTGGTGGTCACACCTCTGTCAGGAGGAACCTGAAACATCAAGAAAAGACCAACTCAAACAGGTGCTTAGCTTGAGAGTCTGGTGATCACGCCTCTGTCAGGGGAATCTGAAATATCTAGAACGGGAACCCACAGAGGAGCTTGGCCCCATAGTCTGGTGGTCACGCCTCTGTCAGGGGAATCTGAAATATCTAGAACAGGAACCCAAACAGGTGCTTGGCCCCATAGTCTGGTGGTCACGCCTCTGTCGGGGGGAATCTGAAATATCTAGAACAGGAACCCAAAGAGGTGCTTGGCCCCATAGTCTGGTGGTCACGCCTCTGTCAGGAGGAACCTGAAATATCTAGAACAGGAACCCAAACAGGTGCTTGGCCCCATAGTCTGGTGGTCACGCCTCTGTCAGGAGGAACCTGAAATATCTAGAACAGGAACCCAAAGAGGAGCTTGGCCCCATAGTCTGGTGGTCACGCCTCTGTCGGGGGGAATCTGAAATATCTAGAACAGGAACCCAAAGAGGAGCTTTGCCCCATAGTCTGGTGGTCATGTCTCTGTCAGGGGAATCTGAAATATCTAGAACAGGAACCCAAACAGGTGCTTGGCCCCATAGTCTGGTGGTCACGCCTCTGTCGGGGGGATCTGAAATATCTAGAACAGGAACCCAAAGAGGAGCTTGGCCCCATAGTCTGGTGGTCACGCCTCTGTCGGGGGAATCTGAAATATCTAGAACAGGAACCCAAACAGGTGCTTGGCCCCATAGTCTGGTGGTCACGCCTCTGTCGGGGGGAATCTGAAATATCTAGAACAGGAACCCAAAGAGGAGCTTTGCCCCATAGTCTGGTGGTCATGTCTCTGTCAGGGGAATCTGAAATATCTAGAACAGGAACCCAAACAGGTGCTTGGCCCCATAGTCTGGTGGTCACGCCTCTGTCGGGGGGATCTGAAATATCTAGAACAGGAACCCAAAGAGGAGCTTGGCCCCATAGTCTGGTGGTCACGCCTCTGTCGGGGGAATCTGAAATATCTAGAACAGGAACTCAAACAGGTGCTTGGCTCCCGAGTCTGGTGAACGTACCACTGTCTGAAGGAATGTGAATCATCAAGAGTTGGGCAATTCAGATCAAGAACTGCAGAGCTCCAGTAACAATTTTCTGTTTAGACATTGGTGCCTTGACAATTTTAAGGAATTATTTCTAGATCATAAACATGTGTTGATGACAGACACTGTTGTATGAATGAACTCAACCTTGCAAGACTGCCAATAGGTCTCTGCCTAGTCACCCTTTGAAGAGTCACAACACTCAGGAAGGTTTGAATCAGGACATTCAGTCATTGCTCCTGCCATACATTCCATTTCAACCCAACAAGAACATGTTGACAGTATCAGTTTCACTGTTATGCACAGGACTATTCCTGCAACCAGCCACTGATAGTTTCTCGGATGTTATTCAAGGTCAAATGGGAGGAGTTAGTGGATCGTAAAGTTGTGTATAAACAATGGTAACAAACAATGAGCCAGGTCATACAATGTTAAGACCTGGCACTCATCAAAGTCACTTCTTCAGACGAGTGGGGCGCTGGGGTAGCCTAGTGGTAAAAGTCTATTGGGGCGCTGGGGTAGCCTAGTGGTAAAAGTCTAGTGGGGCGCTGGGATAGCCTAGTGGTAAAAGTCTAGTGGGGCGCTGGGGTAGCCTAGTGGTAAAAGTCTAGTGGGGTGCTGGGGTAGCCTAGTAGTAAAAGTCTAGTGGGGCGCTTGGGTAGCCTAGTGGTAAAAGTCTAGTGGGGTGCTTGGGTAGCCTAGTGGTAAAAGTCTAGTGGAGTGCTGGGGTAGCCTAGTGGTAAAAGTCTAGTGGGGCACTGGGGTAGCCTAGTGGTAAAAGTCTAGTGGGGCGCTGGGGTAGCCTAGTGGTAAAAGTCTAGTGGGGCACTGGGGTAGCCTAGTGGTAAAAGTCTAGTGGAGCGCTGGGGTAGCCTAGTGGTAAAAGTCTAGTGGGGCGCTGGGGTAGCCTAGTGGTAAAAGTCTAGTGGGGTGCTGGGGTAGCCTAGTGGGGCGCTGGGGTAGCCTAGTGGTAAAAGTCTAGTGGGGCACTGGGGTAGTATCATGATATAACATTTATACTAAGTTTTCCTATAATAGTTAGATCCACATCAAGTGCTTTTATGAGTTATCATGGTGTAATATTTATACATCATTTCATATAATTATAGTTTAGCAAGTAATACTTATCATCAGGTAATAGTTCAAGGCAATCTATAAGACTATGTAGACATATCTTTTGTCTGGGAGATGGGATCTTGATACCTTAGGCTAGCATTTATCTAAAAGCTTCAAATCTATTAAACTATGTCGACATAACTCTTGTCTTATTGAATAGAATGTCTAGGAGATGCGCTCCCGTTACCTTAGGCTAGCTTCTATCTAAAAAGCTATAACTGAAACTACTGATATTTTATATGTGTATTTTACCTGATGATAAGTAGTACTTGCTAACCTATAATTATATGAAATGATGTATAAATATAACACCATGATAACTCATAAAAGCACTTGATGTGGATCTAATTATTATAGGAAAACTTAGTATAAATGTTATATCATGATAGTAGCCTAGTGGTAAAAGTCTAGTGGGGCGCTGGGATAGCCTAGTGGTAAAAGTCTAGTGGGGCACTGGGGTAGCCTAGTGGTAAAAGTCTATTGGGGCACTGGGATAGCCTAGTGGTAAAAGTCTAGTGGGGCGCTGGGGTAGCCTTGTGGTAAAAGTCTAGTGGGGCGCTGGGGTAGCCTAGTGGTAAAAGTCTAGTGGGGCGCTGGGGTAGCCTAGTGGTAAAAGTCTAGTGGGGCACTGGGGTAGCCTAGTGGGGCACTGGGGTAGCCTAGTGGTAAAAGTCTAGTGGGGCGCTGGGATAGCCTAGTGGTAAAAGTCTAGTGGGGCACTGGGGTAGCCTAGTGGTAAAAGTCTAGTGGGGCACTGGGATAGCCTAGTGGTAAAAGTCTAGTGGGGCGCTGGGGTAGCCTAGTGGTAAAAGTCTAGTGGGGCACTGGGGTAGCCTAGTGATAAAAGTCTAGTGGGGCACTGGGGTAACCTAGTGGTAAAAGTCTAGTGGGGCGCTGGGGTAGCCTAGTGGTAAAAGTCTAGTGGGGCGCTGGGGTAGCCTAGTGGTAAAAGTCTAGTGGAGCGCTTGGGTAGCCTAGTGGTTAAAGTCTAGTGGGGCACTGGGGTAGCCTAGTGGTAAAAGTCTAGTGGGGCACTTGGGTAGCCTAGTGGTAAAAGTCTAGTGGGGTGCTTGGGTAGCCTAGTGGAGCGCTGGGGTAGCCTAGTGGTAAAAGTCTAGTGGGGAGCCTGGGTAGCCTAGTGATTAAGTGTATACTTGTCACATGAGGACCCAGGTTCGATTCCCTACATGGGTACAATGTGTGAAACCCTGCCATGATATTGCTGGAATATTTGCTAAAAGTGGTTTAATTCCATACTCTTTCACTCTGCAGATTAGCATGGAATATTGTGGACTTATTATGTCCCAGAAATCTCAGCCTGCTTGTGACACTACAATCCTGATATAAGGGCTTTTTTTATGCCATTGAGATGGGAGATTGTGAGGACAAATCACCAGTTGTGGCCTGCCTACTTTGTGCAGACATGGGCCAGGAATGAGCACCATGGAGCCTCGCCAGCCTTTATCATCATGGCAGCAGTGGAATGTGCATGATCTTTGTCTATTTTCTCTAATATCACAGCCCTGATAATTACAGTTCAGCACAATTGTTTTTTCAATAATTCCACTTTCGTTATCTCCACCAGTCTGACAGTCTACTAGGATGTCAGGACAGTGAGCTGGTCTGGCAAGCCAACATTTTCCCGCCTTATCAAGCTTCTCTTATCAAAATGTTTGCTTCAGTCAGCCTTTCAATGCCCAAGTTGAATTCCTAGATGCTTGCTAATGACCCAGTCACATTTGTGTTTTTGACCCACTGTAATTTTGTGTGAATGTGTTGAGCAAACAGGTTGTGAAACAAGCATGTACAATTTGTGAAAGCCAGTTGTCTTAGTACTAAAGGAGAACTGGAAAATGTCAGAACCACAAACAATATATTGTGTTATCTGTATTTTGAGCAAGTGGGTGCATGTGTTATGCCACAGACTTAAATATTCCAGATACATCGTGGCAGCCTGTAAACAATAGGGCTGGGTGGTGGATGTCAAAAGTGTATCATAATATTTTATATAGCATGCATTCAGTTCCCAGTACATGTGCACTGCTTTACTGAGCATCTCAGGTTATGATTGGTAGTAAGACAATGAAAGGTCAATGATAATGTGAAATTGGAGATCGGTATTGGATGTTTCAAATTTATCACTATATTTTACAATTCACAGGGCCGTATTGCAATATGTATCATAATATATTGTATAATTCAAAATTTTGAATTCAGAAGCAATTTGAAACATCAGTGCAGGAATTTTTCAAAAATGGAACAAAACAAGATGCTGGAACAGCATAA